CAGGAGTTCCAAACCAGCCTGACCAATATGGTGAAACCCCATCTCTACTAAAAAATTAAAATTAGCTGGGCATGGTGGTGCATGCCTATAATCCCAGCTACTCAGGAGGCTGAGGCAGGACAATCTCTTGAAACAGGGAAGCGGAGGTTGCAGTGAGCTGAGATTGCACCATTGCACTCCAGCCTAGGCAACAAGAGTGAAACTGTCTCAACAAAAAAAAAAAAAAAAAAAAAAGGCCTGGAACTAGTTTGCAGGGCACTGTTGGCCTGGCCTGGGTCGCCAGCGTTCATCAGACCTCTCTTGATCAGCTGTCCTCTAAGGGTAAGGGTGTGCTAATTAGCCTCTGAATTCCCCCCCGCCCCCCATCAAGCATCCTTCCTGGGACACAATTACATGGGTGGGTCAGTGGAAGGATGGGTGAGGAAGAGGATGGCAAATAAGCAACACAGTGAGACCCTGTCTCTAAAAAAAATTGAAAGAGGGCTGGCTGAGGTGGCGCACACCTGTAATCCCAGCACTTTGGGAAAAGCTGAGGCAGGAGAATTGCTTGCATTCAGGAGTTCAGGACCAGCCCGGGCAATATAGCAAAACCCCTGTCTCTACAAAAAATTTAAGTTAGGTGGGTATTACGGCATGTACCTGTAGTCCCAGCGACTTGAGAGGCTGAGGTGGGAAGATTGCTCACTTGAACCTGGGAGGTGGAGGCTGCAGCAAGCTGTGTTTGTGCCACTGCACTCCAGTCTGGGTGACAGTGAGACCCTGTCTCAAAAATAAATAAGTTAATTAAATTAAATTAAAAATAAGAAAAAGGGCCAGGTGCAGTGGCTCACACCTGTAATTTCAGCACTTTGGGAGGCAAAGGCAGGTAGATCACCTGAGATCAGGAGTTGGAGACCAGCCTGGCCAACATGGTGAAACCCTGTGTCTACTAAAAATACAAAAAATTAGCCGGGCATGGTGACAAGTGCCTGTAATCCCAGCTATTCAGGAGGCTGAGGCAGGAGACTCGCTTGAACCCGGGAGGCAGAGGTTACAGTGAACCAAGATCGGGCCACTGCTCTCCAGCCTGGGCAACAGAGTAAGACTCTTGCAAAAAAAAAAAAGAAAGAAAGAAAAAGAGTCCCTTTCATGTGTATATAAAGCATGCTACCAAGAGAAGGGCAGAAACTCCAAGAGGAAGTGACTTCCCAAAGACAACATGTTACTTGTTCTAGGGCCACACTTTCTCCATGGAGAAGGCAGAGCGGATGGGGAAATTTGCCAGCACACTCCAGCCTGGTTCCTGGTGCCATGCTGTGCATTTATATACAGTTTCCATTAGTCCTCATCCTCTGTAAAGTAAGGGCCACTGTGCACCTGTCCTAGATGAGGAAACCACACCTGGTCAGGGACAGCCAGGAGATGCTGAAACCAGGGTTCTCAGGGATTCCCCACCCCACCATGCCCCACAGCCTCCTTTGGGTGGGACAGACCAGGGAAGCTCTGTGAACCTTGCTATAGACTCTGGACTTTGGCTGGGCATGGTGGCTCACGCCTGCAATCCCAACACTTTGGGAGGTCAAGGCTGGTGGATCACCTGAGCTCAGGAGTTCGAGACCAGCCTGGCCAACATGGTGAAACCCCTCTCTACTAAAAATACAAAAATTTGCCAGGCAAGGTGGCATGAGCCCATAATCCCAGCTACTTCGGAGGCTGAGTCAGTAGAATCGCTCAAACCTGGGAGGCGCATGTTGCAGTGAGCAGAGATGGTACCACTGTACTCAAGCCTGGGTGACAGAGCGAGACTGCCTCAAAAAAAAAAAATAGTCTGGACTTTATCCCAACACTACAATCTACTTCTACTGTAGGTATCTGGCTCCTTGGAAAGATCTCTCTCTGGTCCTGTCTCCCTCCTGAGTAGGTGTAATCAGAACCTTTTCAGCTGCAAGTGACAGAAATCCAACTCAAATTTATTGGCTTTCGTGAAAAAGGACTGCATTGCCTTACACAACACAAAAGTTAAGGATTTCAGACACAGCTTGATCTAGATACTCTAACGATCTCAAGAATATGTCTGCATATCTTGCCTCTGCAGACCTCTGTGTAGACACATTCTGGCCAGCTTTCTTTTTTTTTTTTTTTATGGAGTCTTGTGTTGTCATCCAGGCTGGAGTACAGTGGTGTGATCTCAGTTTACCAAAACCTCTGCCTCCCAGGTTCAAGTGATTCTCATGCCTCAGCCTTCCAAGCAACTGGGACTACAGGTGCACACCACCATGCCTGGCAAATTTTTGTATTTTTAGTGGAGATGGGGTTTCGCCATGTTGGCCAGCCTGGTCTCAAACTCCTGGCCTCAGGTGATCCACCTGCCTTGGCCTCCCAAAGTGCTGGGATTACAGGCGTAAGCCACCATGCCCAGCTCTGGCCAGCTTTTTCTGCATGCCAACAAGATGTCACCAGTAGTGCTGGGCTTACATCCTATCAGTTTCCTAACCCCCAGGGGAAAGAGGGCATCTTTTCACAGCAGCTCCAAGATGAGTCTTGGGCACAAGATGAATCATCAAGTGCCCATCCCTGTGCCAATGAAAACAGATTGCTTTGGCTGGAAAGCACAGGCCATGTGACTACGCTAGGTCCCCTCCTGAACCTCATGGACTGCCTGTGAGGAAGTTGGTTCCCCAAAAGAAAATCCAATGAAGGGGCACTGGGGCCAGGCACAGTGGTTCATGCCTGTTAATTGAAGCACTTTGGGAGGCTGAGGCAGGAGGGTTGCTGGAGCCCAAGAGGTTGAGACTCACCTAGGCCACATAGTGAGATCCTGTCTCTACCAAAATTTAAAAATTAGGCTGGCCACGGTGGCTCACACTTGTAATCCCAGTACTTTGGGAGGTCGAGGTGGGCAGATCACAAGGTCAGGAGATCATGACCACCCTAGTGAACACATTGAAACCCCATCTCTACTAAAAAAAACATTAGCCAGGCATGGTGGCATGCACCTATAGTCCCAGCTACTTGGGAGGCTGAGGCAGGAGAATCGCTTGAACCCAGGAGGCGGAAGTTGCAGTGAGCTGAGATCACACCATTGCACTCCAGTCTGGGTGACAGAGAGACTCCATCTCAAAAAGAAAATAATTAGCTAGGTATGGTGGGCATGTGCCTGTGGTCCCGGCTACTAGGGAGACTCCAAGGATGGATGGGAGGATCGTTTGAGCATGGGAGATTGAGGCTGCAGTGAGCTGTGATCATGCCACTGCACCCCAGACTGAGCAACAAAGCAAGACCCTGTCTAAAAAATAGAGAGAGAGAGAGGCAATGATAAGAGGCTAGACCAGCAGGAGCAAGAGAGGCAAAGGTCCCCCCTTTTTATTCTTTGAATTGAGACTGGTTCTCCCTCTGTCATCCAGGGTGGAGCGCAATGGTGCAATCACAGCCCACTGTTAACCTGGAACTCCTGTGCTCAACCAATCCTCCCCCCTCCCTCCTAAGTACCTGGGAGCACAGGTGCATGCCATCACAGCTGGCTAATTTCAATTTTTTTTGTAGAGATGAGGTCTTGTTATGTTGCCCAGGCTGGTCTCCAACTCCCGACCTCAGGTCTGCCTGCCTTGACCTTCCAAACTGTTGGGATTACAGGCATGAGCCACCACACCCGGCTGGAGCCTCATAACTTAGTGAGTTGGGCAGGACAAATCTTATTAATTCCCCATTTACCAATGAGAAAATGAGGTTCAGAGAGATTAGGCTTCTTGGTCAAGATGGCACAGTCAATCAATGGCAGGGGTGGGACTTGAACCCATCCCTTGCTGTTCCTTGAACCTTTCCACATGACTGGGCTGTTCCTCAGCCTACAGGACACCCCTCTAGCCTTACCTGTTGGCTCTTCCTCATCCTTTCAGGCCCAGCCCAGATACTTTAAACAAGAATGATGAGAGTTAACCTTTTCTTTTCTATTTTAATGAGACAGAGTCTTGCTCTTTCTCAAGTCTGGAGTGTAGTGGTGCGATCTTGGCTCACTGCAGCCTCTGCCTCCTGTGTTCAAGCTATTCTCATGCCTCAGCCTCCTGAGTAGCTAGGATTACAGGCATGTGCCACCACAACAGGCTAATATTTGTATTTTTAGTAGAGATGCAATTTCACCGTGTTGGCCAGGCCAGTCTCAAACTCCTGACCTCAGGGGATCGGCCAGCCTTGGCTTCCAAAGTGCTGGGATTACAGGCATGAGCCACAGTGACTGCCCCAGAACTAACATTTATTAAGCACCTGCCATTTTCTAGATGAGGTGCTTACTACCTTCCTTGAGTTATTTTAGGTAATCATCCCCATACCTCTTATGTGGCAGGTATGAGTGTTACAGAGGGAGAAACTAAGGCTGAGAAAAGCTAAGTAGCAGCCCCACGTCAGTCAACAGGTGACAGATTGCGGTCACACTCACGACAGAGTCTGACTCTAGAGCGGACCTTTTCTGCCCTCTGTTGCTGCCTCCAGGAGCCCCTCTGATTCCAAGGGTGGGAACTACCCCTCCTTGCCCTCGAGCCCGATGGAAGTCTGGGCTAGGAGCGGCTGTGGGCTCTTCCTCCTTCTCCCAGGCTGGCTCTTCAGGGGCGGAAGCCTGCCTGGCTTGCTCGCCTCTATAGTCCCTGGCACAAAGTAGGTGCCCGTGATGCCCAATTATTTCAGCAGGAGGGCAGGGGTGCCCCCAATGAAGACAGGAGAGCCAGGGAGGCGAAGCGACTCCCGGGGCCACCTATGCGTAGATTTTAGAGCCAGGCAAGAGCCAGGTCCCCTAGGTCCAGGGGCGCGCCCGGGGCTCCTTCTCGCCCGCCCTCCCTGCGCCCCCAGAGCTCGCGTCTGCAGGGCTGGGAGGCGGCGGCGGCGCAGCCGGGCCGGGCCGGACACCTAGGCCTGGAGGGCTGGCCTGGGGCGCTTTCGTGCCTGCCAGGGAAAGGCTGGAGAGGAGGCTGGGGGCGGACGCAGGAAGGAAAGAAGCAACGGGGTATTTTTGCGTTTTGACATGTTAAAAAGAAGTGCAGATTCACTTCCCGGCGGCGGACCGGTAGCCTATGCTTCTGTTGGGGACCCGCGTAGGGCGCGGGCTGGGGGCCGGGGAGGGAGGTGGCCGCCGCGGGGACCGGGGGAACGCAGGGCGGGCCTGAAAGAGCTCCGCCCCAAGGGGCGCGGCCACCCCGGAGGCGGGCGCACGGCTGCTTCTCATTCATTGTCTTGACAAGAGCATCCTCAGCGGGCGAGTCCCCGGCTCCTCCAGCTCCTTCCTCCTTCTCCTCCTCCACCTCCGGCTTCTGGGGGTCACTGTCCTCTCTTGGCAGCAGGTGAGGCTGGGCCTGGGAGGCGCGGGTGGGCCGCGGCGAGGGCCACCTGTGGGGCGGCGCGCGCGTGGGAGCCGCGGGCTGCGGGGGCGCGCGGCTGTCACAGCAACCCGGCCGGCGCCGGGGCCAGGGAGCGGGCGCAGCAGCACGCGGGGGGACGCTGCCTGGAGTGGGGGCTGCCGGGGCTCCAGATCGCTCTGTGGAGGCGAGGGCGAGGGACCACCGTGGCCAAGATGGAGGTGGGTGGCCGGGGGTCAGCACAGTGGCGAGGCCCCGACTCCCCCCGCAATTGAGTCTCGAGGAGGGTGGGGATGGGGGCAGGGTAGGGTGAGTGGGGCAGCTGCCCTAGCCTTGGAGACAGGAAGAGGTTGAGAGCAAAACAAGAAAAGCCCAAGTTCCCCTTTCCGTGGTTTCCGGGCCTGGTACCTGTGGCGGGGGAGGAGGCAGGGTGGGGCGATGGCTTCCTGCCCCCCACCTCTGGTCCGGGGCTCCCCTCTCTCTAGACCCAGGCTGCTCCTCAAGACTAGGGCTCTTCACTTATGCTCCTCACCGCTCTCTCAGCAGGCCGACCTAGCAGCCTCCTCGGGAATCCTGGGGTGGCTGGGGGTGCTAGAGCCCCCAGTGAGCAGGCGAAACTGAGGCTAGGGGCAGAAGCTCTGGGCATGGCATCCTCTGAGCGGCAGCAAAGATCCCTTCCCTGAGCAAGAAGGTGATGCGGTTGGCACAGGGTCGCCCCTGGAGTTCCTGGCTCCCCACCCAGACACGGGGGAAATCATCCTAGCTGGACATCAGAGAAGTCGGGGTGGCCTCTCCCTTCCTGTGTGTAGTTCACAAGGGGGTGGAGATGGCTCTTAAGGGCACCTGCTTTTCTGAGCGGAGGCGAGAGGCAGAGGTATGGGGAGGAGGAGATACTGGGACCTGAGCCACTGATGGCTTCTGGTGCCCAGAGACCTGCTGGGGAAGCCATCCTGCCGCCTCACTTTGCTCCAGCAGCCCCCACGCCACTTCCTCCTGTATCCAGCCCTGTGCCAGCAGGCAAGGGAAGCCAGCCCCTGCCCCTGCCTTTAGGAGGCACTCTGTGTGGGTGTGAGGGAGGTGGGCTCTGGACACGGTAACTAAGAGAGAACCCACCCTCAGAGCCATCTGGGCTGATGACGCCTGAGTCTGAACCATTAGGAAGGATGGGCTCTGCATCCGTCAGCCAGTCAGTCAGTCAGTCAGCAAACATGCAGTGGGGGCAACACCACGCCGGGCTCTGCTGCAGAGGCTAAGGGTACAGAGTGAGAAGGTGGCTCAGAGTGGCCGGGGGCCAAGGAGAAAGGAGCTTGCAGGTTAGACAGGAGGAGAGGCTGGCAAAGGGGAGCAGGCATCAGCCACAGTAGGGAGCCTCTGGAGATGATGCTGGGACCTCAAAAGCCAGACTGAGGGGTGTCCTAGGGGAGGTGGAGGCCATTGGAAGATCAGAGTTGACCTGAAGGGAGAAACGCTCTTAATCTGTGTGCCCCCAGAATGAGCCGGCAGGTAGTCCGTTCCAGCAAGTTCCGCCACGTGTTTGGACAGCCAGCCAAGGCCGACCAGTGCTATGAGGATGTTCGCGTCTCACAGACCACCTGGGACAGTGGTTTCTGTGCCGTCAACCCTAAGTTCGTGGCCCTGATCTGTGAGGCCAGTGGGGGAGGGGCCTTCCTGGTGCTGCCCCTGGCCAAGGTGAGCCCCTGGGGCCCTGTGGGGAGCAGCTTCTCCACCTGACCATGGCTCTGTGGAGGTCCTGATTAGGTGACTGTCACCAAGTCTTCTGGGGCCTGTGTTGCCATCTGGAAAACTGAGCTGGGCCCCAGGAGCCTCATGCTTCCTCCAGCACCTCTGTGCAGTGGCTGTGTGGAAACTGACGCTCAGAAGGAGCCAACACAAGATGGGTCACACCACTGCCCAGGACTGCAGACAGTCCTGCACACCCACAACCCACCCTCCCGAGCCTCAGCCTGGGGCTTTCTCCCCATGGAAACACCGAGAAGGCTGGGATGGGGTCTGGGGGCCCGGCAGCATTTTCAGGGTTGGGAGGGACTCTGGCTCTGGGCCTGCCTGAGGACCTCGAAACTCTGGCCCCCAGCTCACAGGCAGAGAGGATGCAAGAGGCGCTCTCCCCTCCCCCAGCCCTGCCCTCCCCTGAAGCCTGCTGTCCCTTCCACCGGCTGCCTGCTGCCCTGCACCCCCAGCACACTCCTGTGCTCTTTGGGGGGTGAGACAGGAAGGGGAGATGGGCCCCAAGTTGTTACCTTAAAAGGGCCGATAGAAGCAAAGAGAAGAGGAAGTGGTTGTCGGGGTGAGAGCTGGGCCTGAGCCCCGCACTGCCGTCACACAGGAAGCCCTGCTGGAGCAGCTGTCCCCGGAAGAAGCCATTTCCAAACCTCTGCCCTCGCCTGGGGCTGGTTATGACAGGCTCCCTGGCCCCTCTCCTTTGGGGAGGACCCACCCCTGCAGCCCCACCACTCACACTCGCTCTCTGGGGAGCCAACCGTGCCCCCCTACTCCCCATACACCTGTCCTGGCTCTAGGGCCAGTTGGGCCCATGGAAGGCTCACTCAGGGAAGCTGGGGTGGGGTGCAAACCCTAAGGGCAGAGAGAGACTGAGACAGAGACCAGCGGGAACTCTGCCAGGGTCTCGCATGGCCCACATCCTCTGCCATGCGTGGCCAGCCCTCCTGGGGTTTACCCAGGCCATTTTGGGACTAGAACAAGAGAACAAACCCTCTCCACCCCAGGGCCTGGTCCAGCTCCCAGGGACCCCACAGTCTTCCTCTCTGGGCCTCTCTGAAGGAGGTGTGGGGAGGTTGGATTGGGTTTGGGGGCAAAAGCAACTCCATCCAAGGCCCTGCTGTGCCTTTAGACTGGACGTGTGGACAAGAACGTGCCCATGGTCTGTGGCCACACAGCCCCTGTGCTAGACATCACCTGGTGCCCGCACAATGACAACGTCATTGCCAGTGGCTCTGAGGACTGCACAGTCATGGTGAGCGGTGGTAGGGACCCAGGGACTGGGGCGGGGCGGTGCTCTAGGATGGGATCTGACATTTGGAACCCCGAAGACTCACTGGCCTCTCCTCTGCAGGTGTGGGAGATCCCGGATGGGGGCCTGACACTGCCCCTGCGGGAGCCTGTCGTCACCCTGGAGGGCCACACCAAGCGTGTGGGCGTTGTAGCCTGGCACCCCACAGCCCAGAACGTGCTGCTCAGTGCAGGTGCTGTGGGAGGGGCTGGGGGTGGCTGGTGACCTGCCGTGGGTTATGGTAGGAGGCTCGTGGCTTCTGACACTGTGGGGAATGTGCAGGTTGTGACAACGTGATCATGGTGTGGGATGTGGGCACTGGGGCAGCTGTGCTGACGCTGGGCCCAGATGTGCACCCGGACACGATCTACAGTGTGGACTGGAGCCGAGACGGAGGCCTCATCTGTACCTCCTGCCGCGACAAGCGCGTGCGCATCATCGAGCCCCGCAAAGGCACTGTTGTAGCTGTGAGTCGCCATGCCCCTCACCCTTGACCCTACAGCCTGGATCCTTCTTATCCACCACCAACCAGGCCCTTGGATGCTGCCCTCCCTCACCTCCAGCTGGGACTGGCCCCGTAGGGTGTGTATGGGTGCCCGACCTACCACCTTCCTTTCCTTGCAGGAGAAGGATCGTCCCCACGAGGGGACCCGGCCAGTGCGTGCTGTGTTCGTGTCTGAGGGGAAGATCCTGACCACGGGCTTCAGCCGCATGAGTGAGCGGCAGGTGGCGCTGTGGGACACAGTGAGTGCCGGGGCAGGAAGCTGAGGGCCCTGGGGCGGGGAATCAAGGCTGGAGGTTTCGTCCCTGCTCTGCCACTTACCTTGCAGGATGGCCATGGGCCTCAGTTTACCCAGGCATAAGATGGGTGTTCCCGCTGGTTGGTCAGGAGGGCCCTCACAGGTCACTGCCCAGGGAAACCACCATCCCAGGGCCTGGCATGTTACCTCTCACCTGTGTCTACAGAAGCACCTGGAAGAGCCGCTGTCCCTGCAGGAGCTGGACACCAGTAGTGGTGTCCTGCTGCCCTTCTTTGACCCTGACACCAACATCGTCTACCTCTGTGGCAAGGTGGCCTCATCAGGCGGGGTGGGGGTGGGAGGTGGGCAGGAAGGGCCTGGAGAGGGCCAGGGGAGGGGTCATCCACTGGCATTGACCCACCCTCCACATCCATCACCTGCAGGGTGACAGCTCGATCCGGTACTTCGAGATCACTTCCGAGGCCCCGTTCCTGCACTATCTCTCCATGTTCAGTTCCAAGGAGTCCCAGCGGGGCATGGGCTACATGCCCAAACGTGGCCTGGAGGTGAACAAGTGTGAGATCGCCAGGTGACTAACCCTCCGTCCTGACCGCAGCATGCTCCTCGGGCAGTCCCATGCCTGCCCAACTAGGCTGTGGGCCCCACTCACCTCCCCCTTCCCACAGGTTCTACAAGCTGCACGAGAGGAGGTGTGAGCCCATCGCCATGACAGTGCCTCGAAAGGTGATGCTTCCCCACCCCGCCCTGGGCTCTGGGCTGTGCACTGACTTTGAGGCCTTGCTGGGGGGTGTCCTGCCATAAGCACGCTCCTCACCAGCCCTGGCCTTGCCCACAGTCGGACCTGTTCCAGGAGGACCTGTATCCACCCACTGCAGGGCCCGACCCTGCTCTCACGGCTGAGGAGTGGCTGGGGGGTCGGGATGCTGGGCCCCTCCTCATCTCCCTCAAGGATGGCTATGTGCCCCCGAAAAGCCGGGAGCTGAGGGTCAACCGGGGCCTGGACACTGGACGAAGGAGGGCAGCACCAGAGGCCAGTGGCACTCCCAGCTCGGTGAGAGGGCTAGGGAGCCAGGGAATAAGGCAGGGAGGGTGGGGTGGGTCTGGCATTTGGGGCAGCTGAAACTCCCAACATTGGGAATCTTTGCAGGGCTGAGAGTGGGTAATCCTGAGGCCTCAGAAAACAGGTTTCAGATTGATAGGCCTGCAGGTCTCCAGGCAGCAACTGGCTGAGCAACAGAAGGGCCTGAGGCCCGGGGGGCTGTTGGGATGGGGCTCAGGGCAAGGGGAGTCCTGAAGAAGCTGGGCCTAATGCAGCACGGGGTCCCCAGGATGCTGTGTCCCGGCTGGAGGAGGAGATGCGGAAGCTCCAGGCCACAGTGCAGGAGCTACAGAAGCGCTTGGACAGGCTGGAGGAGACGGTCCAGGCCAAGTAGAGCCCCGCAGGGCCTTCAGCAGGGTCAGCCATTCACACCCATCCACTCCTTCCCGACTCCCAGCCACATGGCAGAGAAAAAAAATCGTAATAAAATGGCTTTATTTTCGTGTATCTCCCAGACTCTAATGACTGGTCCCCTAGATGTTTGGGGTTTGCTGAACCAACCAGCCCTTGAGCTTCCTTCCCCTCTACTGTGCTGAGGGGACTAACCCACGGTAAAGGATGCGGGATGCCCCCTAACATTCTACAGCATGGGAACAGGGCCTTCGAGGGTAGAAACCAGCCACGCTGATGTGGGCCAGGAGACTGCTCTCCGATTCCCAGCTCCTTCTCAGAGCTGACACAGCTGAGCTATTTAAGGCCCTAGCCTGGGACCTCAAAAATTCCCATATTTACCCAAAATCTGCCTTTCCTAGTCAACCAAAGCATCAGGTTGCAAGTGACTCTGCTAGTAGTTGTTTGTGAGGAAATGAACCATCACTTAAGGAGTGGACATCTTTTTTTTTTTGAGACAGAGTCTTGCTCTGTCGCCAGGCTGAAGTGCTGTGGTGCAATCTCGGCTCACTGCAACCTCTGCCTCCCAGGTAGTGATTCACCTCTCCTCAAGTGATTCACCTGCCTCAGCCTCTCAAGTATCTGGGATTACAGGCACATACCACCATGCCCAGCTAATTTTTGTATTTTTAGTAGTCTTGATCTCTTGACCTTGTGATCTGCCCACCTCGGCCTCCCAAAGCGCTGGGACTACAGGTGTGAGCCCCACACCCGGCAGACATCTTTTAAACTGCAGGTCCAAAGATAAAACTAACAAGGGAGGCCAGGCAAGGGGGCTCACGCCTGTAATCCCAGCACTCTGGGAGGCCAAGGCGAGAGGATCACTTGAGCCCAGGGGTTTGAGATCTGGTCTCTACAAAAAAATTAACATGGCGTGGGGGTGCGCACCTGTAGTTCCAGCTATTCAGGAGGCTGAGGCGGGAGGATCCCTTGAGCCCACGAGATCAATGGTGCAATGAGCTACTATGGCACCACTGCACTGTAGCCTGGGTGACAGAGCAAGACCCTGTCTTTTACAAATATAAATAAACAACAAGGAAACTTTTTGTACGAAAAAGACAGAACTAGCAACAGGCTGACCCTAGTTTACAAAACAAAGTGAGGCTGAAAGCAGAAGCCCAGATCACTGAAGGCAGATTCCATGTCAGAGCTTAAGTCTCCTGCTTTTTTATTTATTTTCTTAGTTTTTTCTGAGGCAGAGTTTCATTCCTGGTGCCTAGAATGGAGTACAATGGTGCAATCTCGGCTCACCACAACCTCTGCCTCTCAGGTTCAAGTGATTCTCGTGCCTTGGCCTCCCAAGCAGCAGGGACCACAGGCGCATGCCACCACGTCCAGCTAACTTTTGTGTTTTTCAGTAGAGATGGGGTCTCACCATGTTGGCCAAACTGGTCTCAAACTCCTGGCCTCAAGTGATCCTGTGATCCTAGCACTTTGGGAAGCCGAGGTGGGCAGATCACTTGAGGCCAGGAGTTTGAGACTGGCCTGGCCAGCATGGTGAAACCCCGTTTCTACTAAAAGTACAAAAATTAGCTGGGCGTGGGGGGGGGCACACCTGTAATTCCAGCTACTCAGGAGGCTGAGGTACAAGAATCTTTGGAACCTGGGAGGAGGAGGTTGCAGTGAGCAGAGATGGCACCTCTGCACTCCAGCCTGGGCAACAGAGCAAGACCCTGTCTCAAACAAACAAACAAAACAAGGTGCTAGCATCCCCACTAACCTGGGACATCACCCATCCCAATTTTCTGACTTGGTCAGTCTTAGATTCCTGCTCTAGTCTCACCCCATCCCCTTCCCACATCTACTATTCCTAAAACTTCCATGGTCCTCCAGGGGCAGCTGTAGCCACATCAAGCCCAGGGCTATGGGGCCACTGAACTTTCTCCAGTGGGTCCGAAAACATCAGCATTTCAGGTGGGAATGACCCCCTACTTGGGTACCACTCCCTCTTGGGCGTGACAAGGCCTGGGGAAGCTGCAGGGAATATATGGAATTCTGCATTATGCCTCTGACACTGCGGTGATGTCGAGGAGAGGAAGAGGTTTGTTCCACTGGTCACAGCCTTGAAACCCAGATCACTTTCTCATCTCTGCATCTTGAAGGCTGCAGAGAGCAGGAGTCCTGAGCTCTCTGGGAGTTGGGTGGGTGGTGGCAGTACAGACTCCTAGATGTCTACATGTAATTACAGAGAGAAGGCTTTCTAGGCAGACCCTGGAAGGGACTTTCATGATAAAACTTTCATTTTACAAGCAGGGATAGAGCCTACGTGGGGAAAGGGACTTGTCCAAGGTAAAACAACAAACAGAGGCAGGGCAGGGAGAGAGACCAGGTCCTAGACTCGGCCTCAGCACCCCTCCCACACACACACACCGAGACAGAAGCTGGTCCAGATTTATAATTTAATGGCTGTGCAGGTCCTAGTCCCTCATTTCTGCCGCTCACGGGCCCACTGCTCTGGGGTCAGGGTTTTCTGTTCAAAGGCATGGATCTGCGGGAGCTCTTCTGCTAGGCACGCGTTCACCAGCCTGGGACGAGAGATGAGGTTAGGAAACAGCAGGCCGGGATCACACACCCGAGGCTGGGGTGACCCAAGAGACTGTAGATGTCCCCAAGGTTGTAGTCCCCAGGCCGTGGGAACACGTACGTGGGGAGTGTCTACATCGAAATACTCGAAGCAGGGACCACGAAGGCGGGATCCTCAAGGTCCCTGAGCCACGCCCGCGGGAGTTAGGTTGCAGGGGAAAGGGGAGTGGCTGGGGTTGTGGTGCAGGAGCTGACACTGCGCTGGGCAAGGTGTTCCCAAGGCCTCACCGGTGTCTCTGAAGCAGCGGCTTCCCCTCGAACTTGGCCGACACCACCAGGACTCGGAAGCTACAGGCGCAACGGTTGAGGGTCGTGTCCTCCACCTCCTACCGGGCGGAAGAATATGAATGGTGCCGAACCCGCCCGCAGAGCTCTTTTCCCCTCTTCGGGCGATTCAACTCACCACATGCTCCGCCTCCAGGTCCCGCTGCAGCTTCTCCCGAAGGTATTCGGCGCTGAGTTCCATGGCAGTATGCCAGCCGGGGCGGTAGCCCAGAGGGGATAGAACCCCAGCTAGGACCCCGGCCACAGGGCTTTGTGCCCTTACAGGAGCCACTTCCGTTGGAGAAGCCACTTCCGCCCTTACTAAGGCGTACGTCGACGCAGTACTTCCGCCCTCAAGCAGTCGGGCTTTCCAACGGTCTGGGCTTTTCGCGCCTGCCATCTGTCAGCCAATCAGAGTCCTCAGAAAGTGGGACTCGGGCGGAGCCGATGCTGATTGGTAGGTGCTCGCCGCCTGCACAGCAGCCTGGCTTCCGAGGTCGGACTTCTGCACCCGCCTCCAGACGGGAGAGGGCCACGAACTCGCACCACGGCGGCTTCCAGGCAGCCGCGGGATAGTCCCTGAGAGCTTGTTCCGAAGCAAGCACCCTGCAGCCCTAGCGATCCAGCCCTCCCCTGGGCCCTAGGTCACGGCAGTCAGCCCGCTGCTGCTGTCCCCGAAGTCCGAGGCCCGATGGGTCCCGCGGGGGTCGCAGCGAGGCCGAGGCGCTTCTTCGGCGTCTACCTGCTCTACTGCCTGAACCCCCGGCACCGGGGCCGCGTCTACGTGGGGTTCACTGTCAATCCTGCTCGTCGGGTTCAGCAGCACAACGGGGGTCGGAAAAAAGGCGGGGCCTGGAGGACTAGCGGGCGAGGGCCTTGGTGAGAGGGGTTGGGCTTCTGTGCCCAGAGGAAGGCTTCCTGGAGGAGGCCGACCCCGCGGGGCACAGGCCTGAGGAGAGGGACCGAACTGATGTAACATGGGCGGGGCGTCCAGGGCGGGGGGCGGGGTCTGTTGCAGGGGAGGAGCGTGACGGGGAGGCGGTGCCCGGGGCAACTCCGTGGTGGAACTCTGGGAGGAGCTGGCTGGGGCGTGGGTGATGATCCAGGCTGGGGTCCGGCGTAGGGGGTTTAGTTGGCACCCTGGGGTCGGGTGGAGCGCAGGAGAGAGAGGAGTGGGGACAGGTAAGTACCTGGACTGGAGGCGTGGCCTGAGGTGGGTAGGCACAAAGGGCGTGCCTTCAGGCAGGGGCGGGGCCTGGGGCTCGGCTGAAGCCGGGAGTAAGGACCCCGATCTCGGGTGGGATTGGCAGGGACCCACGGCGAGGGTGCTGGGCTGGACCTGCGGTGGGGCTCACAGGGACACTCCCGTTCCCGTTCTCCTCCCCAGGGAGATGGTGCTCGTTGTGCACGGCTTCCCATCCGCCGTAGCTGCCCTTCGGGTAAGGAAGGAGACTGGGCGGCTGCGGGCCGGGAAGGGTTTGGGGTCCGCCTCCTGCACCGAGCCGCCCTGACGCCCCGTACCCCGCCCACAGTTCGAGTGGGCCTGGCAGCACCCGCACGCCTCGCGCCGCCTAGCTCACGTGGGGCCGCGCCTGCGTGGAGAGACGGCCTTCACGTTTCACTTGCGCGTGCTGGCACACATGCTGCGCGCACCGCCCTGGGCGCGCCTCCCGCTCACGCTGCGCTGGCTGCGCCCTGACCTCCGCCAGGACCTCTGCCTGCCGCCGCCACCGCATGTGCCCCTGGCCTTCGGGCCTCCACCGCCCCAGGCCCCGGCCCTAAGGCGCCGCGCAGGCCCCTTTGATGACGCCAAGCCTGAGCCAGACCAAGGGGATGCAGGGGCCTGCTGCGCCCTGTGCGCCCGGACCATCCAGGTGAGGTCTACCCCAGGCACAGGTGGCTCTAGGGTCCAGACGACTTCAGATCCAGCTCTTTCTTGAAGGAACCCACTGACACGCTTTGGCCATCCTATCCCCATCTCTAAGATGCAGATGCTATAGTACTTATGGCCATTCCTGAGCACGGCGGGACCTGCTCAGGGCCTTCACCATTTCCCTTTGATGAAAAGGTTCTTCCCAAGGCCATCTGTCTTGATAACCTACCACCTTCTCAGTGAGGTCTTCTCTGGCTCTGAGTGGAGACTGTAATCTGAGCTACTGGGGAGGCTGTGATGGGAGGATCACTCAAACCCAGGAGTTCAAGGCTACAGTGAGTTATGATCGCTCCGCTGCACTCTCTCTCTCTCTCTTTTTTTTAGGCGGAGACTTGCTCTGTTGCCCAGGCTGAAGTGCAGTGATCTTAGCTCACTGGAACCTCTGCCTCTCGGGTTCAAGCGATTCTCTTGTCTCAACCTCCCAAGTAGCTGGGATTACAGGCATGGGCCACCACACCTGGCAAATTTTTGTGTTTTTAGTAGAGACGAGGTTTCGCCATGTTGGCTAGGCTGGTCACAAATTCCTGACTTCAAGTGATCCTTCTGCCTCAGCCTCCGGGAGTACTGGGATTATAGGTGTGAGCCACCATGCCTGGACATGACCCTGTCTCTAATACAATGAAATTAATTGAGCTCATTCTTGTGCACTTCTCTGCCACTCCCTTTTTCCTTAACACTTGATATCGTCTGGCATGCTAAGTGTTTTATTAATCTCATTAGTCTCTCCCACCCCAACTGCTATACTGTACTCTCAGAGGGCAGCTTTTATCACTGCTGTAGAACAAAGTCCTGCACAGAGCCGATGGCCAAGACATTTTTTTTTTTTTTGAGATGTAATCTCGCTCTGTCACTCAGGCTGGAGTGCAGTGGTATAATCTCAGCTCACTGCAACCTCTGCCTCCCAGTTTAAAGCGATTCACCTGCCTCAGCCTCCCAAGTAGATGGGATTACAGGCCTGCGCCACCACATCTGGCTAATTTTTGTATTTTTCGTAGAGATGGGGTTTCAACCATGTTGGCCAGGCTGCTCTCAAATTCCTGACCTCAGGTGATCCCACATGATCTCACCTGCCTCAGCCTCCTAAAATGCTGGGATTACAGACTTGAGCCACTGCGCCCAGCCTAAATATTTAATAAAATAATGGACGATGGGCACCTTCTACTGAGCTCCTGATAATTGTGAGTGAGTAGAGGGCTTGCCCTGCAGAGATTCAGTGTCCTGTCGGGGGTTGCTGAGCTGTTAGGAAGTTCAGGTCTGGCTGCAGTGGCGAGGCTGTGACTCAATTAGTCACTGCTGATGTTCACAGGACATTTACCAGCTTAGCTCCAGGGGGCAAGGATTTAAACTCCCCACCTCAGTTTCTTCATCTGTAAGACGCAAATAAGTCGCTGCTGCCTCTGGGGATGGAGCTGTGTAATGCCCAGAACAGTGCCTGCTGCACAGAGGGACTCGCTGCCAGCTCCCTCTCTCTCCTTGTGTCCTACCTGCCTGCTGCCTAGGACAGGATGAACAGGGACCCTTGTGTTGCCCCCATCCTGGCTGCCTCCTAAGGGCCCACATGATCTGCCTGGCAGAGGAATTCCTTCGGGAAGAACCAGGGCAGCTTCTGCCCCTAGAGGGCCAATGCCCCAGGTGAGTGCAGTCCCCCAGCCCCAGCCTGGTTCAGCTCTGGAAAGAGGGTTCCCAGTTGTGCAGTCCAGGCCCTGGACAGCTGAGTGCTCATGTCAGCCTCCAGGGCTGAGCCTGGAGGGGGCTCGTGGAGTCTGACTCTGTATCTCCTACCACCCCTCCCATTGGTAGCTGTGAGAAGTCACTGCTGTGGGGAGACCTGATCTGGCTGTGCCAGATGAACACTGAGAAAGAAGAAGACTTGGAATTAGAAGAGGTGACTGGGCTTTGGCTGCGGGCTCCCTACCCCACTCCCTGCCCTGGGCTGCCTGTGACCTTTCTTGCCTCTGCAGGCACACTGGACAGACCTGCTGGAGACCTGATCCTTGGTGTTCCTATCCCCCTCCTACCTCTTTTCTGTGCCACCTGCCATGGATCCAGATATGGCGGGTTTTTACTTGAATACAATAAAAAAAAGTCTGAGTCAGGGGTGCTTTATGATCATTGTTAAGGGTGTGGGTAGAGCTAGTAGCCCAAGGTCCTGCCAGGCACAGGGCTTCCTTAGGGGCACAGAGGAGGGAGAAGCCTGTGGCCCTAGCGTGTGAGCAGCATCTGCTCTGCCTGGAAACCCCATGCCTCAGCTTGCTCCCCATGCCTCAGCTTGCCCCTGCTTGCCTCTGAGCTTATGCAGTTATTGGAAGGCTTGGAGACTCACCTTGGAATTAAATGCAAATAGTGAGGATAAAGACCAAGGAGGATGGGGGATGCTCTCTTTCCATAGGGCCCTGTGGCTTCCAAGCCCGAACCTCCTCTAGCCTCTGTCTGCAGAGCCTCCTTCAAACCCAGGGAAAGAAAAGCACCTGCAGGGTTATGTTCTTCTAGGATCTTCTACTGATGCTCTGTGAGGTGCCCTGGGAGCCATGAAGCTGAAGCTGGCTCCCAGGGCAATGGGACTCCATTGTGTCCTTGTTCCCTTGTTCTTTTTTTTTTTTTTTTGCGGGGGAGGGGATGGAGTCTTACTCTGTTGCCCAGGCTGGAGTGTAGTGGTGTGATCTCGCCTTACTGAAGCCTCCGCCTCCCAGGTTCACGCAGTTCTCCCTCAGCCTCCCAAATAGCTGGGATTACAGGCACCTGCCACCATGCCTAGCTAATTTTGTATTTTTAGTAGAGACGGGGTTTCACCATGTTGGCCAGGCTGGTCTCGAACTCCTGACCCCAGGTGATCCACCCTAATCAGCCTCCCAAAGTGCTGGGATTACAGGCGTGAGCCACCACGCCCAGCCTCTTCTGTGCATCCATGCTCTGCTCCACCCCTACCCCTTCACTCTGTCCACACACATCACTCCAGACTGGCCTTGTGGTCAGAACCTGAATGCCTGGGCTGATAGGGACCTGAGGGCTGCACTGGGTCAGAACCCCTGGCACCTTCAAGACTATCTTGGAGCCAGCAGGTAGGTGACCTTTCCCAGGCCTGCCTGTCACACCTTTCCCCTCTACTCACTCACCTCCCCTGTCTGGATCAATTAGAGAAAGCTTGTCCACCAGGCTTGGTGACTCACACCTGTAATCTCAGCGCTTTAGGAGGCTGAGGTGGGCAGGTCATCTGAGCTCAGGAGTTTGAGACCATCCTGGCCAACATGGTGAAACCATCTCTACTAAAAATACAAAAATTAGCTGAGTGTGGTGGCGCAGGCCTATAATCCTAACTACTCCCCAACTACTCGGCAGGCTGAGGCAGGAGAATCACTTCAACTCAGGAGGCGGAGGTTGCAGTGTGCCAAGATTGCACCACTGCACTCCAGCCTGCACGACAGAGCAAGACTCTGTCTCAAGAAAAACAGAAAAAAGAAAACTTGTCTGTTGGCCTGCCCTGCTGGGTGGAGTTCAGAGAGAAGGTCAGGAACCCGGTGACAGCTCACAAAAAAACTCCAAATACCAAAGGCCCCTTTTGCCTTTCAGTCTTGTGTTTTCTACACACTAAACTCACATCTTGGGTTTGTAGATGGTTCTCAGCTCGGCTGCAGCTGAGGTCCTCACCCTCAACCCCACCCCTTCCTTCCTGGAGCTGAGCCAAGTCCCCGCCCTGACTCCAGATCCCTCCCACATTGAACATTCAAAACTTTCAGTGCAGAGCACAGCCCTGCATTCCCCACACCGAAACCACACTAAGCCCCTGCAGGCCAGGAGAGCGTGAGGCCAGGTTCCAGAGAGCTCAGGTGAGTTCCAGAGTGGAGTGGCCCAGGTCGCCCTCACCCTGCACAGCTTCTGGCTCCAACATTCCAGAAGCCCGGGCCTCTGCCATCCCTGCTCTTTCCCCATGGATATCCCATTTCAGTAGGACAACACAGCCTGGCCGGAATCCCCCTCTCTCCCTTTTCCTTTGTGTATTTTTTAGACAGGGTGTTGCTGTCACCCAGGCTGGAGTGTAGTGGGATCCTGGCCCACTGCAGCCTCAAAATCCTAGGCTGAGGCCATCCTCCCACCTCAACTTCCTGAATAGCTGGGGTTACAACAGCAAGCCACCGTACCCAGCTAATTTTTAAAAGTACTTTTTGTAGAGGGGTCTTGCTTTGTTGCCCAGGTTGGTCTCAAACTCCTGGGCTCAAGGGATCCTTCTCTGTTGATGTCCCAAGGGATTACAGGCGGGAGTCACCCTGCCCGGGCTTCTCCTTCTGCTAAGTCATTAGTTTTGCTCATTCCAACACCAGCCTCTGGCCCCCAATACCAGCTAGTTGCTCAATGTGCCATGTTTGTCTTGGAGCCCAAGTGGACTGTGACCGGGCAAGTGGATCACAAGCCTGGTGGACCTGGGAGGTTTCCACATATGAGGGGCCTAGAAGGAGCGGAGCATTAGGGAGAGGAGCCCACTGGGTGGAGGCTGGGGTCTCAGCAGGAAATGGTAAGACAGAGGGTGCTGGCTGGCAGGGAGACAGCACAGGCAGGCCTAGAGCTTCCTCAGGGCAGCTGGAATCTGGAGACCTTCACACACCCTGATACCTGGGCCCTGCCCCGTGAGGGCACTTTCACTGGTCTGCACTATGGCCCAGGCCCTGGGATTTTGCATAGCTCTGCAGGTGAATGAAAGGTGCGGCCAGGTGGGGGAACCACCGCACTAGATGCAGACCTGGTTTTCAGCCCCCGCCCCGCCACTGACTGGCTTTGTGAGCTCAGGCAAGTCACTCAGCCTCCCTAGGCCTCAGTGACTCCCCTGAAAGCAAAAACTGCAAAGGAGCAGCTGGGCGCTGGCTCACACCTGTAATCCCAGCCCATTGGGAGGCCGAGGCGGGCGAATCACTTGAGACCAATTTAAGACCAGCCTGGCCAACATGGTAAAACCCCATCTCTACTTCCACTAAAAAAAAAATTAGCTGGGTGTGGTTGCACATGCGTGTCATCCCAGCTACTTGGGAGACCAAGGGGAGAGGCTTGCTTGAACCTCCAAGAAACTGAGGTTGCAGTGAGCTGAGATTCTGCCACTGCACTTCAGCTTGGGTGGCAGAGTGAGAATCCGTTTCAAAAGAAAAAAGAATTCTGTACATGGTGTTGTGATGGTGTTAAGGATGTGGGCCTGGGTCTGGCCCCTGACATAGGAACATGGAGCTGAACCAGGACACCACCCGCTGGCCTCTGGAGTACGTGAAGGGGGTCCCGCTCATCAAGTACTTTGCAGACGCACTGGAGCCCCTGGAGAGCTTCCAAGCCCTTCCTGATGACCTGCTCATCAACACCTACCCCAAGTCTGGTAGGTGAGGAGGGCCATCCACCCTCTCCCAGGCGGCAGCCCCCACCTTGGTTGTGTTCATCTCCCATCTCCCTCACCCTCCAGGCACTACCTGGGTGAGCCAAATACTGGACATGATCTACCAGGGCGGTGACCTAGAGAAGTGTAACCGGGCTCCCATCTACATACGGGTGCCCTTCCTTGAGCTCAATGATCCCGGGGATCCCTCAGGTGTGTGGCTGGGTCCTGGGGGGAAGGAGAGTGGAGGAAGACAGGGCTGGGGCTTCAGCTCACCAGACCTTCCCTGACCCACTACTCAGGGCTGGAGACTCTGAAAGTCACACCGTCCCCACGCCTCATCAAGTCACACCTACCCCTGGCCCTGCTCCCCCAGACTCTGTTGGATCAGAAGGTCAAGGTGAGGCTGGGCACACTGGTTCATACCTTTCATCCCAGATTGAAGCTGAGGTGTGAGGATCCCTTGAAGGCGAGAGATGGAGACCAGCCTGGGCAACACTGCTGTAGAGATGATGTCCCATCTCTACAAAAAAATTTAAAAACCTGGTGTGGTGGCACAGACTGTTCCCAGTTACTTAGTAGGCTCAGTGGGGAGGATTGTTCATGCGAACTGGAGGCTGCAGTGAGCCCTGCCTGCTGCTGCTGCACTCCAACCTGGGCAACAGAGCAAAACCATCTCTACAAAATAAAAAAGTTCCTGCTGAGTGGCAGGGAAGGCCAGAAAGGGAGGCTTGGGCACCCTCCCAGCCATGTTTCTGTTCTTCTGGAAAGGCTGCCGCGCTTTCACCGGGCTCATCACATCTTTTTTGTTTTTTTAAGACAGAATTTCGCTCTTATTGCCCAGGCTAGAGTACAGTGGCTTGATCTCAGCTCACTACAACTTCCAACTTCCATGTTCAAGCAATTCTCCTGCCTCAGCCTCTTTTCGTTTATTTTTTTTTTATATGTGGTTTCACCATGATGGCCAGGCTGGTCTTGAACTCCTAACCTCAGGTGATCCACCCACCTCGGCGTCCCAAAGTGCTAGGATTACAGGTGTGAGCCACCGCACTGGGGCTGCCTCAGCCTCAGAAGAAGCTGGGAGTACAGGCACCCACCATCACCCTCGGCTAATTTTGAATTTGTAGTCGAGATGGGGTTTCGCCATGTTGGTCAGGCTGGTCTTGAACTCCTGACCTCAGGTAATCTGCCCACCTTGGCCTCCCAAAGTGCTGGAATTAAAGGCATGAGCCACTGTGCCCAGGCTTCATCACATCTTGACAGAGGATATGGTCTGCCCTCTTGCTCTGAAGGGGGTCCAATGCCAGGATAGTGAGTCTCTACAGTGCACACTTGAGAAAGGCAGCATGTGGGTGCTCACAGCCCAGCAGAGGAGGAGGGGCTGGTGGGAACTGGGCATGCCTTGCTCCAGATCGGGGTGTGACAGCGTTGATGCAGTTTATATTAGTGTAGAATACAGATCCAGGGACCAGGCCAGACTTTGACATCTGAGCAGTGTTCAGATCCCCGCTTGGACCTACCTGTGCCGTGAGATCTCAAGCAAGTCAGCCTCTAAGCCTCAGGTTCCTCCTTTGCCAAACTAAGAGATGAGCTGGCCTGGGGCGGGCCGTGTGATGGCGCTGGGCCGGGTCCTCTGCCCCCGCAGGTGGTCTATGTTGCCCGCAACGCAAAGGACGTGGCCGTCTCCTACTACCACTTCCACCGAATGGAAAAGACACATCCTGACCCTGGGACCTGGGACAGCTTCCTGGAGAAGTTCATGGCCGGAGAAGGTGGGTTGACTGGAGGAAGGAGGGTGTGGAGCTGAGGGGTGGTGGCTACAACACACAGCAACCCTGTGTCGGTGGCCCCCGCCCACTCCTCCAGTGTCCTACGGGTCCTGGTACCAGCACGTGCGGGAGTGGTGGGAGCTGAGCTGCACACACCCTGTTCTCTACCTCTTCTATGAAGACATGAAGGAGGTGAGACCACCTGTGCTGCTGCCCTCCATGTGACACCTGGGGGCAGGCACCTCACAGGGAGCCACCAAGGCCACCCAGTCCCCTCTCCAGGCAGCCCCACAGCAAGCCCGGATTCCCCATCCTGTCTCCCTGGCCCAGACCTCCCAGCTGCAGCCCCACCTGGCAGCAGCACCCCCCCGCCCCCCCGCGCCCAGCTCTCATCTCCCGCACCTGAGTCAGCTCCATAGGTGGCCACAGATCAGATACTTAGTCCTCTTGCTTCTCCCTGCCAAAGTGTTCCAGCCCGGAGCCACAGTCATGAAAGAAGACCATCCCTACCATCACTCGTTTGTAGGAGCCAAGCCCAGCTTATCATGGGATCACAGGGCAGAGAGCAATTCATTTTACTCGGGACTGTGGCCCGAGGGTCAAGGCTCTTCCGGGTTTCTAGGGGAAGTGGCCAGATGCCCTCTGAAGTTAGAGAAGGGAACCCCTTTTATTTTGCTCCACTGAGGAGCCCTCTGCTGCTCAGAACCCCAAAAGGGAGATTCAGAAGATCCTGGAGTTTTTGGGGCGCTCCCTGCCAGAGGAGACCGTGGACCTCATCGTTCAGCACACATCGTTCAAGGAGATGAAGAAGAACCCCATGACCAACTACACCACCATCCCCCAGGAGTTCATGGACCATAGCATCTCCCCTTTCATGAGGAGAGGTGAGCGCCGGCCAGCACGGGGGTTTGGGGCTGGGGGGAGCAGCAGCTGGAGCCTCCCCATAGTTACTCGGCTGAGGGCCTCCCCTGGGGTGAGACTCCAGCTTTGCTCCCTGCCTTCCTCTCCCAGGCACGGCTGGGGACTGGAAAACCACCTTCACCGTGGCGCAGAATGAGCGCTTCGACGCGGACTATGAGGAGAAGATGGCAGGCTGCAGCCTCAGCTTCCGCTCCCAGCTATGACAGAGGCTCCCGGGGTCACTGCAGAGGGAGTGTTCGAGTCAAGCCTGACCAAGGGGCTCAAGAATAAAGTGTGATTTTTGGGCCAGGCACAGTGGCTCATGTCTGCAATCCCAGAGGTTTGGGAGGCTGAGCTGGGAGGATCGCAGTAGGCCACAAGTTTGAAACCAGCCTGGTAAAATAGTGAGACCTAATCTCACAAAGAGTAAAAAAAATTAGCCCCGTGTGCTGGCACTCACCTGTAGTCCCAGCTACTTGGGAAGCGGAGGCTGGACGATCATTTCAGCCCAGGAGGTTGTGGATACAGTGAGTTATGATTATGCCCATTCACTACAGCCTGGATGACAGAGCAAGACCCTCCCTCCAAAGAAAATAAAGTTTAATTAAAATAAAATATGTTTGGTGTTCGATGTAGAGCCTGCATTGGAAAGGAAGAGAAACTCTGAGCTGAAAGAGTGAATACCCAGTGGGGCCAAATATGGTCACCTCTTCCCCAGCCTCCAGCTCCGCAGGTCACCAATATCTGGGGAGGGGAGAGGGATCTGGAGAAGTAAAACTCAGGAGACCTTCAGAGGAACGATGTCTGTTTAATCCCAGCACATCCTCTGCTATCCTGCCCCAAGATGGTGGAGGACGTCACTTTTTCTTGGGCTCTTTAGAAGCCACCAGGTAACTCTGGGCCACACTGAAGTGAGGGGAGAAGCTGTCTACATAGGAGGTGTCTTCAGATAGGGTGGAGTAGTCATCCTGGGGCTGGGGGCAGGAGGGGCTGAGAGCAGCCCTGGGGCTGGTGTCACTCACTTGGTGGTGGTGTGGCTGTAACTGACCACCTTGGCCAGGATCCACTGCTCATCCCCATCCACGGCCTTCACCCAGGCAGCCACCTTGTCTCCAGGTCTGGCCACGTAGTCCCCTGAGGCAGGGATGACCCCACAGAGGAGTGGGGGCCTGTGAGTGAAACTAAGAATCAGTCCCAGCCCCTGGGCACCAGCCCGTCCCTTGCAGCTGCTGCCCTCACTTGTCACCAGGCTTCGAGATCCACAGGGCAGGGTCATCAGCACCCCTCTGCACAAGGTCTTCTGGGGCAGTTCCGAGTCATTGTAGGGACCTGTGATCTTGGCAGCTGTGAGAAGGAAGGGAGCCCTGAGACCCCAGGGACAGGTGGCAGCCCCCACCACCCCTAGCCTGCTGCACTGAGCTGCTGGAGGAGCCCCCAGCTCCAGAGTGAGCCCGAGAGCCCAGCAGGACTGTGACCCCATCTGCCAATTGTCCTACAGGGGCTGCTGCACTCAACTACAGATGGGTGGGATGGCACCACAGCGGGCACCCAGGGGAAGGAACCAGGGAGGGACAAAGAGGGCATGGAGGTGCTGGTCAGGTTCTCTTCTTGATGTCGGTGCTGACACAGAAGTATGCTTCCTTAGTGATTATTTCCTAAAATTCGAAGGGACCCGTGGGAATCGCGGTGAGTTCGGGGCGCTTCTTCAGTGTCTATGTGCTCTACTGCCTGAACCCCTGGCACTGGGGCGGAGTCTACGTGGTGTTTACTGTCAACCCTGCTCGTCCGGTCCAGCAGCACAATGGGGTGCTGCAAAAAAGGCGGGGCTTGGTAGACCAGCGGGCGAGGGCCCTGGTGAGACGGGGAGGGCTTCTGTGCAGGAAGGAAGGCTTCCTGGAGGAGACGGACCCCGCGTGGCACAGGCCTGCTGAGAGGGACCAGACAGGCCTGTGAAGTAGGCGGGGCGTCCAGGGCGGGGACGGAGACTGTGTAGGGGAGGAGCGTAACGGGGAGGCGATGCCCTGGGAATGTCGGCAGTGGAACTCTGGGAGGAGCTGGCTGGGGCGGGAGTGATGGTCCAGGCTGGGGTCCAGAGTAGGGGTCTTGGTGGGCACTCTGGGGTCTGGTGGAGCGCAGGAGCAAAGCAGGGGGGACAGGTGGGTACTTGGAATGGAGGCGGGGCCTGAGATTGGCAGGTGAAGGGGGCGTGCCTTCAGCCGGGGGCGGGCCTGGGGCTGGTCTGAAGGCTGGAGTGAGGATCCAGCTCTCGGGTGGGATTGGAGGAGACTTGTGATGGGAAGCGGCGGGGCTCATGGGGACACCCTCGTTCTCCTCCCCTGAGAAATGGTGCTCCTTGTGCACGGCTTCCCTTCCTCCGTGGCCGCCCTTCCGGTAGGAAGGAGACCGCGCGGCGGCGTGTGGTCGGGGTTTGCGATCGGACCCCTGCCCGACGCCGCCCTTGCGGCCCCGTACCCCGCCGCGGTTGTAGTGGACCCGGCTCCCCCGCCCTGGGCGCGCCTGCTGCTTCCGCAGCGCCCAGACCTCCGCCGGGAGCTCTGACGGCTGTGCAGTAGTGGCCGCTGGCCTTCGGGCCTCCCCCGCCCCAATGCGCCGCGCAGGTCCCTTCGCCGACGCCGAGCCTGGGCCTGACCCTGAGCCTGAGCCCGACCCGGAACCCCAGAGGCCTGTGCGCCCGCGCCCTCCGGGGGAGGTTCGCCCCAGGCAAGGGGGCTGGATGGTCCCGACGACTTCGGATCCAGCTGTTTGTTGAGGAACCAGGAAACGCCCTGACACTTTTGCGGCGCTGTCCCGTCTCTAAGATAGGGAATGACAGTACTTGGCGGCCATTCCTGAGCACAGCACGACCTGTCTTATCCCTTTGACTGGAAGGTTCTCTCCACCATCTGTCTTGATAACCTGCCACCTCTGCAGAGAGGTCTTCCCTGTCTCCCGATTTAAAATTGCAGCTCTGAGAAGCCCGGCATGGTGGCACATGCCTATAGTCCCAGCTACGGGGGAGGCTGGGATGGGAGGATTGCTTTAGCCCAGGGGTTGGAGGCTGATGTGAACTATGACTGCTCCATTGCACTTCAGCCTGGGTGAAACAGCAAGACCCTTTCTCTAAAAAAATAAAATACAAGGCCGGGCGCAGTGGCTCACGCCTGTAATCCCAGCACTTTGGGAGGCTGAGGCGGGTGGATCAGGAGGTCAAGAGATCGAGACCATCCTGGTCAACGAGGTGAAACCCCGTCTCTACTAAAAATACCAAAATTAGCTGGGCATGGTGGTGCACGCCTGTAGTCCCAGCTACTCAGGAGGCTGAGGCAGGAGAATTGCTTGAACCCAGAAGGCGGAGGTTGCGGTGAGCCGAGATCGTGCCATTTCACTCCAGTCTGGGTAACAACAGCAAAACTCCGTCTCAAAAAATAAAATAAAATAAAATACAAGTCAGGAGCAGTGGCTCACACCTGTAATCCCAGCACTTTGGGAGGCGGAAGCAGGCCAATCACCTGAGGTCTGGAGTTCGAGACCAGTCTGACCAACATGGAGAAACCTCGTCTCTAAAAAAAATTTTTTTAAATAAATAAATTTAAAAAACATAAATAAAAATACATTGCAGCTCTTTCTAACAGACGATGGTCCCGGATTTACTGAGCTCTCAGAAAATTTGAGTGAGTAGAGGACAAGCCCTGCAGAGATTCAGTAACCTGCTGGGGTGTGAGGAAGTTCAGCTCTGGCTGCGGTAGTGAGGCTGTGACTCAGTCACTGCTGATGCTTGCAGGACATTGGCCAAGTTAGTTTCTGAGGACAAGGATTTTAACCCCCCATCTCCATTTCTTCATCTCTAAGATGTGAAGGATAGTCACCCCTGCCTCATAGGGTCGAGCTGTGGAACCCTCCTCCCACCTCCTTTCTGTGCCACCCCCAGCGGGTTCGGGGCTTTTTACAGGTGTGCAATACAAAGTCTGAATCCAGGATGCCTTCTGGTTGTTGCTGGGGGTGGGGGTGGGGGCGGAGCTAGTAGCCTGTGGACCTGCCAGTCAAGGGGCTTCCAAAGGAGGGAGAAGGGGCCCCTGGCCCTAGTTTGTGAGCAGCCTCTCCTCTGCCTGAAAGTCCCAAGCCTCAGTTTTCCCCCACTCCCTCCTACCTGCTTGCCTCTGAACTCGTGCAATCCTTGGAAGGCTTGGGAGACTCACCTCTACTCAGATGATTACCTGAGTAGCCTTGTGTTCTTGTACCCAGCTTGACCTTGGATTTTAAATAGTGAAGACAAAGAAGGAGGAGGATGGGGGATGCCCTCCTTTCACAGGGCCCCATGGCTTCCAAGCCTCAGCCTCCTCTGGCCTCTGTCTGCAGAGCCTCCTTCAAACCCAGGGAAAGAAAAGCACCTGCCAGGGGCTGCTGTTCTTCTAGGATATGCTACTGATGCTCTGTAAGTTCCCCAGAGGGCCATGTAGCTGGAACTCGCTTCCAGGGCAAGTGTCCTTCTTCTTTCTTGATCTATGAGTCCATACTGTGCTCCACCCCTGCCCCTTGACTCTGTGCACACACATTACTCCAGACTGGCCTTGTGTTCAGAGCCCGGAGTGCCTGGGCTGTTGAGGGCTTGTGTATGGGCTGCACCAGACTAGAAGCATTGGTGCCTTCAAGGTATCCCTGGAAAACATGACCTGCCCCTTTTCTGCCTAGCTAGTACCCATTTTTCCCCACTCACAGGCATACTTCCCTTGCCTGGGTCAATTAGTAAAAGCTCATCTGTTGGCCTGCCCTGCAGGGTTGTGTTCAGCGGGCAGGTCAAGAGCCCAGTGACAGCTCAAAAAATAAAAAAGGGCCGGGCGCAGTGGCTCACACTTGTGATCCCAGCAGTTTGGGAGGCTGAGGCAGGCAAATCACGTGAGATCAGGAGCTGGACACCAGCCTGACCAACATGGCGAAACCCCATCTACAAAACAAAAATTAGCCAGATGGTGGCATGCAGTTGTAATCTCAGCCACTCAGGAGAGTGAGGTAGGAGAATTGCTTGAACCTGGGAGGCAGAAGTTGCAGTGAGCCAAGATTGCACCACTGTACCACAGCCTGGGCCACAGAGCAAGAATCCGTCTCAGAAAAATAAAAATAGAATAAAATAAAAATAAAAATAAAATAAATCTATATATTCGGTTCTTTTGCCTTTCATTCTGTTTCCTAATCACTACTAAACACTAAACTCACATCTTGGCTTTGGAGATCACTCTAAGCTTGACTGCAGCTGTGGTGCTAGGGAGGGTAATAGAGAAGCTCCCCCCACCCTCAACCCCAGCCCTTCCTTCCGGGAGCAAACCCAACTCTGGCCCAGACTCCAGATCCCTCCCACATTGTACTACGACACCCTTGCAAACAGCAGCTCTTCACTCCCCACACTCAGCCACTGCGGGCAAGGAGGGCAGGAAACCAGGGTCTGGAGAACTCCGGTGAGTACCAGAGTGGAATGGCCCAGGACGCCCTTACCCTGCTCAGCTTCTGGCTCCAACATTCCAGAAGCCGAGGCCTCTCTGCCATACTGGCTCTTTCCCCATGGATATCCAGTTTCACTAGGGGAACTCCAGCCTGGCTGCCCTTCCTTCTTTTTTATTTTTGTTTTTTTGAGATGGATCTTGGCTCTGACACCCAGAATGGAGTGCAGTGGTCAAACTGTAGCTCACTGCAGCCTCAAAATCCTGGGCTAACCTGATCATCATGCCTCAGCCTCCCAAGTATCTGAGTGTACAGGAGAGAGCAACCAGGCCCAGCTAAGTTTTTTTTTTTTTTTTTTGAGGCTGAGTTTTTCGCTTGTTGCCCAGGCTGGAGTGCAATGTCACCATCTTGGTTCACCACAACCTCCGCCTCCCGGGTTAAAGCGATTCTCCTGCCTCAGCCTCCCAAGTAGCTGGGATTATAGGACAGACGCTGGCCACTACGCCCACCTGATTTTGTGTTTTTAGTAGAGATGGGGTTTCTCCATATTGGTCAGGCTGGTCTCAGACTCCTGACCTCAGGTGATCCACCCTCCTCAGCCTCCCAAAGTGCTAGGATTACAGTCGTGAGCCACTGTGCCCAGCTTGCCCAGCTAATTTTTAAATGTATTTTTTTCTAGAGACAGGGTCTTGCTATATTGCCCAGGTTGGTCTCAAAGTCCAAGACTCAAGTGATCCTTCCCCCTTGGGCTCCCAGAGCTATGGGATTATAAGCATGAGCCATCCTGTCCCATCCTCCTTCTGTTGAGTCATCCAAAATTTTGTTTATTCCCACACCAGGCTCTGGCCCCCAATACGAGCTAGTTGCTCAATGGGCTGTGTTTGTCTTGGAGCCCAGATGGACTGTGACTGGACAAATGGATCACAGGCTTGGCCGGCCTGGGAGGTTTCCATATGTGAGGGGCCCTGAGGGGGTCAAGGAGAGGAGCATTGGGGAGAGGAGCCCACTGGGTGGAGGCTGGGGTCTCAGCAGGAAATGGTGAGACAAAGGGCGCTGGCTGGCAGGGAGACAGCACAGGCAGGCCTAGAGCTTCCTCAGAGCAGCTGGAGTCTCCTGGAGACCTTCACACACCCTGACACCTGGGCCCCGTCCCGTGAGGGCACTTTCACTGGTCTGCACCATGGCCCAGGCCCTGGGATTTTGCATAGCTCTGCAGGTGAATGAAAGGTGCGGCCAGGCAGGGGAACCACCACACTAGATGCAGACCTGGTTTTCAGCCCCCGCCCCGCCACTGACTGGCTTTGTGAGCTCAGGCAAGTCACTCAGCCTCCCTAGGCATCAGTGACTTCCCTGAAAGTGAGAATTCTGCACACGGTGTGTGATGGTGTTAAGGGTGTGGGCCTGGCTCTGGCCCTGGCCCCTGGCCTGGCTCTGGCCCTGGCCCCTGACGTAGGAACATGGAACTGATCCAGGACGGCCTCCGCCAGCAACTGCAGTACGTGAAGGGGGTCCCGCTCATCAAGGACTTTGCGGAGGCACTGGGGCCCCTGGAGAGCTTCCAGGCCCGGCCCGATGACCTGCTCATCAGCACCTACCCCAAGTCCGGTAGGTGAGGAGGGCCACCCACCCCCTCCCACGTGGCAGCCCTCACCTTGGCCAGCCAGGTCATACCCTCAACCTGCTCACCTACTATCTCCCTCCCTCTCCAGGCACCACCTGGGTGAGCCAGATACTGGACATGATCTACCAGAATGGTGACCTGGACAAGTGTCATCGGGCTCCCATCTTCATGCGGGTGCCCTTCCTTGAGTTCAAAGCCCCAGGGGTTGCCTCAGGTGTGTGACTGGGACCTGGGGAGAAAGGGAGTGGAGGAAGACAGGGCTGGGGCTTCAGCTCACCAGACCTTCCCTGACCCACCGCTCAGGGCTGGAGACTCTGAAGGACACACCGGCCCCACGGCTCATCAAGACGCACCTGCCCCTGGTCCTGCTCCCCCAGACTCTGTTGGATCAGAAGGTCAAGGTGAGGCCAGGCACAGTGGCTTAGACCTGTCAGCCCAGCACTTTGAGAGTCCAAGGCAGGAGGCTCACTTGCAACCAGGAGTTGGAAGACAGCATGGGTAACATAGTGACGCAGTCTCTTTCAATTAAGAAAAAGAAAAGCCAGGTGTGATAGCACGTGCCTATGGTCTCAGCTTCCAGGGAAACTGACGTGGGAGGATCGCTAGAGCCGAGAAGTTTGAGGCTGCAGTGAGCCATGATCACACCACTGCACTCCAACCTGTGTGACAGAGAGAGACACCAACTCAAAGAAAGAAAGAAAAACTAAAAGAAAAGAATAGAAAAGGTCCAGATGCACGGCATGGCAATCCAGGGAAGGAGGCTCCGCATAGCTCAGCTTGGGTTTTGTTCTTCCGGGAAGGTTGCCCCACATCCTTCAGTCTTGTCTCATCTGCAGCAGGGATACTGGCTGCCTCTTGCTCTGGCAAGGGTCTGCTGGCCAGAAACATGAGACTCTTCAGTGGCTGCCTCAGAAATGCAGCGTATGGGTGCTCACAGGCCAGCAGAGGAGGGGGCTGGGGGGGACCAGGCATGCCTTGCTCCAGATTGGGGTGTGACAACATTGATGCAGTTTCTATTAGTGTAGAACATGGATCCAGGGACCAGGCCAGACTTTGACATCTGAGCAGGGTTCAGATCCCCGCTTGGACCTACCTGTGCCGTGAGATCTCAAGCAAGTCAGCCTCTAAGCCTCAGGTTCCTCCTTTGCCAAACTAAGAGATGAGCTGGCCTGGGGCGGGCCGTGTGATGGCGCTGGGCCGGGTCCTCTGCCCCTGCAGGTGGTCTATGTTGCCCGCAACGCAAAGGACGTGGCCGTCTCCTACTACCACTTCTACCAGATGGCCAAGGTGCACCCTGACCCTGGGACCTGGGACAGCTTCCTGGAGAAGTTCATGGCCGGAGAAGGTGAGTTGACTGGAGGAAGGAGGGTGTGGAGCTGAGGGGTGGTGGCTACAACACACAGCAACCCTGTGTCGGTGGCCCCCGCCCGCTTCTCCAGTGTCCTACGGGTCCTGGTACCAGCACGTGCGGGAGTGGTGGGAGCTGAGCTGCACACACCCTGTTCTCTACCTCTTCTATGAAGACATGAAGGAGGTGAGACCACCTGTGCTGCTGCCCTCCATGTGACACCTGGGGGCAGGCACCTCACAGGGAGCCACCAAGGCCACCCAGTCCCCTCTCCAGGCAGCCCCACAGCAGGCCCAGATTTCCCATCCCCAGAGGCTGAGGTCAGAGGACCACTTGAGCTGAGGAGTTCAAAACCAACCTGTCTGAGCTCCCCTTGGCAGCAGGCCCAGCACAGTACTTATCTCCCGTGCCTGAGTCAGCTGCACAGGTGGCCACGGATCAGATACTTAGTCCTCTTGCTTCTCCCTGCCAGGTGTGCCAGCCTGGAGCCACAGTCATGAAAGAAGACTGTCCCGTTGTCACCCATAGGAGCCAAGTCCAGCTCATTACGGGATCACAGGGCAGAAAGCAATTCATTTTACCCCAGGGAAAAGGGCCCCAGGGGTTGAGCAGTTGGCTCTAGAGGGTTTCTAGAAGTGGCCAGATTCCCTCTGAGGTTAGAAAGGGAGACCCCTCTTATTTTCTTGAATGAGCAATCCCAGCCTCCACTGAGGAGCCCTCTGCTGCTCAGAACCCAAAAAGGGAGATTCTGAAGATCCTGGAGTTTGTGGGGCGCTCCCTGCCAGAGGAGACCGTGGACCTCATGGTTCAGCACACATCGTTTGAGGAGATGAAGAAGAACCCCATGACCAACTACACTGTCGTTCCCCAGGAGTTAATGGACCACAGCATCTCCCCCTTCATGCGGAGAGGTGGGCGCCGGCCAGCACGGGGGTTTGGGGCGGGTGGCAGCAGCAGCTGGAGCCTCCCCATAGGTACTCGGGGCCTCCCCTGGGGTGAGACTCCAGCTTTGCTCCCTCCCTTCCTCCCCCAGGCATGGCTGGAGACTGGAAAACCACCTTCACTGTGGCGCAGAATGAGCGCTTCGACGAGGACTATGCGGAGAAGATGGCAGGCTGCAGCCTCAGCTTCCGCTCCCAGCTGTGACAGGGGCTCCCGGGGTCACTGCAGAGGGAGTGTTCGAGTCAAGCCTGACCACTGGGCTCAAGAATAAAATATGAATTGTAGGCCAGGGACAGTAGGTCATGTCTGTAATCCCAGCAATTTGGGAGGCTGAGGTAGGAGGATCACTTGAGCCCATGAGTTCAAGACCAAGCTGGGCAACATAGTGAGATTCTGTTGCAAAAAGTAATAAAATAAAATCAATTTTTAAAAAGAGAATAAAATATGATTTGTGGGTCAGGCAGGGTGGCTCATGCCTGTAATCCCAGCCATTTGAGAAGTTGAGAGGATCACTGGAGGACAGGAGTTTGGGACCAGCCTGGTCAACGTTATAAGACACCATCCCTACACATTTGAGAGAAATCATCTTCACGTGGTGGTGAGCGCCTGTAGTTCCAGGTACTTGGCAAATTAAGGCAGAAGGATCCCCTAAGCCAGGGAGGTTGTGGCCACAGTGAGCGGTGATTAAGCCAATCCACTCAAGCCTGAGGGACAGAGCAAACCCTGCCTGAGAAATAAATAAAAAGCAATTTAATTAAAATAAATTATGACTCCTGACCAGACTGGCCAACATGGCAAAACCTCGTCACTACTAAAAATACAAAATTAGCCGGGCTTGGTGGTGCACGCCCGTAATCCCAGCTACTTGGGAGGCTGAGGCACGAAAATCGCTTGAACCCGGAAGGTGGAGCTTGCAGTGAGTCGAGATCATGCCACTGCACTCAAGCCTGGGCGACAGAGCAAGACTCTATCTCAAAATAAACGAATAAATAAAATAGTTTAAACAAGAGACACACAGCAAAAGAAGTGCAGCACAGAGTAACTTATTGCAAGAGACAAACAGTATTTTGAAAGTACAAAATGGGCAATATACCTTGGAGAGTTCAGAACAGGCTGTTCGTCGGGGTGAGACAGTGTTGATTACTGCAGGAAAAACCCCCGTGTTGGGAGTCTTACACAATTGTTCATAAGGGTGGGAAGAGGAGTCACTAGTAAGCATATTCTGGGTGGTTCTGGGTGTACATGGGCATTTGCTATGCATGCTTGTTCCTAGGACGAATGTCTCAATAGCATTTTAAGTCTCCACCCAGAGGTGTATTTTTACTATTAAAATGAGCAAAGGGTCAGTTTGAGGACAGGTAAAATCCAAACACACACGTTCTCAAAAGGGGAAGTTCTACTGGAGATAGCTTTGCTTGAATGAGCTCAGTGACCAGGCGAATGCTCAGGCTTACTATGTTGGCTATGCGGTCACCAGGGTGGCAGCATCCCCAGAACGTCGTTGTCTCCTTCATGGCCTATCCTGCCTCACTCGGGCTCCATGCCCTGCCATGGTCCAAACAAGCTCTTGGAGTCCGTCTCGGGGTTGGCCTTCCACTGGGGCAGCGGGATGACCCACACCAGCTCAGGGTAGTGGGTCTTGTGTCCTGGGGGTAGAGGGGCTTGTGTCAACCTGCGGCCAGGTGGGGAAGCTCCTTCCCGGCTGTTATGCTGCCCCCCAGGCTCTGTGCCCTGCCCTGGCCTGGACACTCACTCTTTGCCTTCTTCATCGATGTCATCTACCTCATACCTGCAGACAAAAGGAAGAATACGCTGGATGCAGTCAGGGTCTCAGTCTCTGTCGGGAAGTGAAGAGGACAGGGACAGCCCAAGAACTGGGTGCTCCCTGCACAGCAGACCCCGCCCACAGCACCCTCTGGGGAGCTATTCTCCTGCTGCAGAGCCAAAGCCCAGGCAGGTGTGGTGACCAGAGAGCATTCCTGGGGCTGGTGTCACTTGCCTGTTGGTGGCGTGGCTGTAACTGACCACCTTGGCCAAGATCCACTGCTCGTTCCCATCCACAGCCTTCACTGGGCAGCCACCTTGTCTCCAGGTCTGGCCACGTAGTCCCCTGAGGCAGGGATGGCCCCACAGAGGGGTGGGGGCCTGTGAGTGGAACAAAGGGTCAGCCCCAGCCCCTGGGCACCAGCCCCTCCCTCGAAGCCGCTGCCCTCACTTGTCACCAGGCTTCCCGATCCACAGGGGCAGGGTCGTGGCCAACTGCTGCAGCAGGGTCACCAGCACCCCTCTGTGCACGGTCTTCCGGGGCGGCTCTGAGTAGAAACTCGGGATCTTGGCCGCTGTGGGAAGGAAGAAAGCCCTGAAGCCAAAGGGGCAGGTGCTGGCCCCAACCCCACCTAGCCTGCTGCAATGAGCTGTTGGAGGAGCCCCTGAGAGCCCTAGCTCCCGAGTGAGCCAGAGGGCTCAGCAGGACTGTGGCCCCATCTGCCAGGTGTCCTACAGGGGCTGCTGCGCTCAGCTACAGATGGGTGAGGTGGCACCACAGCGGGCACCCAGGTGGAGGAACCAGGGAGGGACAAAGCGGGTTCGGAGATGCAGGTCAGGTTCTCTTCTGGATGTTGGTGCTGACACAGAAGTGTGTTTAATAAAAATTTCCTAAAATTCAAAGGGTCCCGCGGTGGTTGCGGCAAGGCCCAGGCGCTTCTTCTACCTCTACCTGCTCTACTGCCTGAACCCCTCAGAACCAGGATGGAGTCTACCTGGGGTTCACTGTCCACCCTGCTCGTCGGCTCCAGCACCATAATGGAGGCTGCACAGAAGGCAGGACCCAGGTCGGGCGAAGTGGCTTATGTCGGTAATCCCAGCACTTTGGGAGGCCGAAGCGGTCTGATCACTTGAGGTCAGAAGTTCGAAATCAGCCCGGCAAACATAGCGAACCCCCCGTCTCTACTAAAAATGTAAAAATTAACCAGGCATGGTGGCACGTACCTGTAATCCCAGCTACTCAAGAGGCCGAGGCAGGAGAATAAGCAGGGGTGGAAGCCTGAGGAGAAGGAGGAGGTGCGGGGGCACGTCGGAGGTTGCAGTGAGCGCAATAGCGCCATTGCACTCCTGGTGAGACGCGGAGGGTCTCTGTGCCGGGAGGAAGGCTTCCTGGAGGAGGCGGACCGCGCTGGGCACAGGTCTGATGAGAGGGACCTGCCAGGCCTGTGAAGCGGGCGGGGTTTCCAGGGCGGGGACGGGGCCCGTCCCAGGGGAGGAGCGTGACGGGTAGGCGGTGCCCTGGGAATCTTGATGGTGGAACTCCGGGAGGAGGTGGCTGGGGCGGGGGTGATGATCCAGGCTGGGGTCCAGCGTAGGGTTCCTGGTGGGCACGCTGGGATTGGGTGGGACGCAGGAGGAGAGCAGGGGTGACAGACGGGTACCAAGGCTGGAGGAGGGGTCTGAGATTGGCAGGTGGAGGGGGCGCGGCTGCAGGCAGGGGCGGAGCCTGGGGCTCGGCTGAAGCTGGGAGTGAGGACCCGGCTCTTGGGTAGAATTGGAGGGGACTCGTGATGGGGCGCCGCGGGGCTCAAAGAGACACCCACGTTCTCCTCCCCAGGGAGATGGTGCATGTTCTGCACGGTTTCCTATCCGCCGTGGCCGCCATTCCGGCAAGGAAGGAGACCGCGTGGCGGCGAGTGTCCGGGGTTTGGGGGTCCTACCCCTACCCGACGCAGTTCTGGCGCCCCCGTACCCCGCCGGGGTTGTAGTGGACCCGTCTCCCCCGCCCTGGGCGCTCCTGCCGCTCCCGCAGCGCCCAGACCTCAGCCGGGAGCTCTGACCGCTGTGCAGTAGCGGCCGCTGGCCTTAGGGCCTTCCCCGCCCCAAGGCGCCGCGCAGGTCCCTTTGCTGACCCCGAGCCTGCGCCTGAGCCGGACCCGGGACCCCAGAGGCCTGGGCGCCCGCGCGCTTCAGGGGAGGTTCGCTCCAGGCACGGGAGATGCATCGTCCCGACGACTTCCGGGCACGGTGGCACATGCCCGTAGTGCCAACTACTGGGGAGTCTGAGGTGGGAGGATTGCTTGAGCCCAGGAGTTGGAGGCTGCAGTGAGCTCTGATAGCTCCATTGCACTCCAGCCTGGGCTAAAGAGCAAGACTCTGTCTCTAAAAAGATAAACTAAAATTGCATGTCTTGTGTACTCCACCGGGGCTCCTTTTCCTGAATACTTACTTATTATCTGACATGCTGCCTGTTTTATTGATCTCATTAGTGTCTCCCACCCCAGTCCTTGTACTAAACTGCCTTTAGGCAGCTCTTGTCACTGCTGAACAGAATCCCGCAGGGTCAATGGCTAAAAAATAGTTAATGAAATAATGGATGATGGGCCGGTGGTACTAAGTTCACCTTCAATGGGAGTGAGCGGAGGACTAGGCCTGCAGAGATTCAGTGACCTGCTGGTGGTTGCTGAGCTGTCACAAAGTTCAAGTCTGGCTGCAGTGTCCAGGCTGTGACTCAGTCACTGCTGATGCTCACGGGACCTTCACCAGCTTAGTCCCAGAGGGCAAGCATTTTAACACCCCACCTCCATTTCCTCACCTGTAAAATGCAAATATGGAGCTGTGTAATGCCCAGAACAGTGCCTGCTGCAGAGGCTCGCTGCCAGCTCCCTCTCCCTCCTTGCCTCTTACCTGCCTGCTGCCTGGGACTGGATAAGCAGGGGCCTTTGTGTTGCCCTGACCCTGGCTGCCCGCCAAGGGCCCATGTGATCTGCCTGGCAGAGGAGTTCCTTTGGGAAGAACCAGGGCAGCTTCTGCCCCTAGAGGGCCGATGCCTAGGTGAGTGCAGTCTCCTGGTGCCAGCCTGGTCCAGCTCTGGGAAGAGGGTGCCCAGTTGTATAAGCCAGGCCTGGGCAGCCGAGTCCTTATCTTGATATTCAGGGTCCAGCCTGGAGGGGGCTTGTGATGCCTGACTGTATCTCTCTGGCCCCATGCCTTGGTAGCTGTGAGATGTCACTGCTTTGGGTGTGCGGATGGGCACAGAGGAAATAGAAGAAGACTCGGAATTAGAAGACATGAGTGGGCTTTGGCCCCGGCCTCGCCACCCCACTCCCTGCCCTGGGCTATCTGTCACCAACCTGGCCATGCTAACCTGCTTTTTGTTGGCTTAAACTGACTCTCTTTCTTAGCTAAGAGCTGTTCGGGCCTCATGTTAGCTTCTTGAGCTGGACAGACTCCATCTTAGCTTCTTCATTTTAGTTATTCCCCTCATTAAGTGTGCAACTGTAGTATGTAGCTGGGGCAGGATGACACCGGGCACATCCAGGACTGCATTTGCTGATTAAGAGGCTGAGTTAAGTGGCACCAGCACAGCCTGGGAATGCAGGTGCTGTCGAGTGCCCAGAGCCCCCGTGTCTATAAGTTGTATGTCTTTTTCTGACAGCTCTAGCCCTTGCACCTGGTTCTGTTTTATTTCTCATGTACTAGTTTAACTTTTAACTTTTTGCTTACTCTGCTTCCATGAGAAAACTTGCTTCAGCTAGGTTCCCCCCTCCCTTTTCAAACTGGGGTATAAAAAACCCCCATACTCTTTCTTCGGTGCCAAGAGAATTTGGGGCGTTAGCCATCTCCAGGTTGCCAGCTAAAATAAAGGACTCACAATTCAATCTCAGAGTGTGGCGCATTCCTTAACCCACTCAGGTATAACATTGCCTCTACAGACACACTGGATAGCTCTGCTGGGGACCCGATCCTCAGCGTCTCTAACCCCCTGCAGATACACCGGTGGCCTAGGGGAGGTCCTCAAAGGCCGGTGGGACATCCACCTCAGTCAGTCTCCAGGCTCTTGACACCTTTGCCAGAAGGAATTTAAGACAAGTCAGAAAGTCACAAATGTAGGGAGATTGCTTGCAGCACAAAAGGACACACTCAAGAAGGAGAATGTGGGGGTCGTCAAGAGAGTGTCTCATGTCCTAGGAGGTTTGGGGCTGACCTTTATGGGCTTAACTAAAGACGATATATTCATGAAGATTTCAGCAAAAGGTTAAGATTTCTCAAAACCGTGGTGCCACAATTTACACCCAAATACAGGTGTTCCTGGAGCTGTCTTGGCACCGGTGGGTGTATGAGGTAACATCTTACTGATCATATAAGGGGACCCTAGGTGAAACCTACATCAAATGCAGTGCCATGCTGGGTCTGGTTGGTTTTAGTCAGCTTGGTCCTCATCCTATTTTTCAGGGACTTATTGGCCCTTAGCACATGCAGCTGTTTCTTTTCTTTGTTGATACAGAGTCTCGCTCTGCTGCCCAGGCTGGGGTGCAATGGTGTGATCTCAGCTCACTGCAACCTCCGCCTCCTGGGTTCAAGAGATTCTCCTGCCTCGGCCTCCTGAGTAGCCAGGACTACAGGTGCGCACCACCACACCCAGCTAATTTTTGTATTTTTAGTAGAGACGGGGTTTCACCTTGTTGGTCAGGCTGGTCTCGAACTCCAGACCTCATTCTCCACCTGCCGCATCCTTGCAAAGTGCTGGGATTACAGGCGTGAGCCTCCGCGCCTGGGTACATGCGGCTATTTCAAGTTTACTTCTTCAGGTCACGTGAAACTGCGGCCTGGGATTTTCTATTCTCCGTCTACCACCCTGTGTTAATCTCAGATTCTTGCCTCTTTTCTGTGCCACTTCAAGAGGTCCAGCTAGTCTTTCCTGGAGTGCAATACAAAGTCTGCGTCAAGGGGGCCTCCTAATGGTCGGCTAAGAGCATATGAGGGTGGAGCTAGTAGCCCAAGGACCTGCCAGTCACGGATTTTCCTCAAGGCACAGAAGAAGGAGGAGGGGCCGTGACCCCAGCAGGTGAGCAGTCTCTCCTCTGCCTGGAAACCCCATGCCTCGGCTTTCCCCTGCTTGCCTCTGAGTTCACGGAATCCTTGGAAGGCCTGGGAGACTCACCTTTACTCAGATGGTTACCTGTCTCGTACCCAGCTTGACCCTGGACTTTCAACAGTGAGGACAAAGAACAAGGATAATGGGGGGATGCCCTCTTTCCATGGAGGCCCGTGGCTTGTAAGCCCCAACCTCCTCTGGCCTCTGTCTGTGGAGCCTCCTTCAAACTGACAGAAAGAAAAGCACCTGCTAGGGACTGCCGTTCTTCTAGAGTCTTTCTACTGATGCTCTGTGAGGTCCCCTGCGAGCCATGAAGCCGGGGCTGGTCTTTCCTGGGCTTGCCTATCCCATCTTTCTCCTCCAATCCCTCCCCTCTCTCCTCTGGGTTAATTAGAGAAAGTTGTCTGTTGGCCTGCCTGGCAGGGTGGAGTTCAGGGGCAGGTCAGGAGCCCCATGACAGCTCAAAAAGAAAAAAGAAAACAAAACCCACCATTGGGCCCTTGTTCTTTCATTCTTCTGTTTTCTAAAAACCAAACGTCTTGGCTTTGCAGATCCACGCTAAGCTTGCCTCCAGCTGGCAACCTAAGGAGGGTAAAGGAGAAGCTCCCCGACTCCCAACCCCACCCCTTCCTCCGGGGAGCAAAACTAAGTCCCGCCCTGGCTGCAGATCCCTCCCACACTGGACTTAGGAAACCCTCAGCACAGACAATAGCCCTGCATTCCCCACACCGCACCCACACTCAGCCACTGTGGGCGAGGAGGGCCAGGCTCCCGAAAGCTCAGGTGAGTGACATGGTGGAATGGCCCAGGTCGCCCTCACCCTGCTCAGCTTCTGGCTCTTTCCTCATGGTTATTCCCGCTCTTTCCTCATGGATATCCCATTTCAATCAGACAACCCCAGCCAGGCGTGAATCCCCCTCCCTTCCTTTTTTTCTTGGGGCAGAGGAGGCCAGGTCTCTCTGTCACCCAGACTGGAGTACAGTAGGATTCTGGCCACTGTAGCCTTGAATTCCTGCCTCAGCCTCTGGAGTAGCTGGGACTACAGGCCCTTGCCATCCTGCCTGATTAACTTAATTAATTAATTAATTTTGTTTTTTGAGACGGAGTTTCGCTGTTGTTACCCAGACTGGAGTGCAATGACACGATCTCGGCTCACTGCAACCTCCGCCTCCTGGGTTCAAGCAATTCTCCTGCCTCAGCTTCCCGAGTAGCTGGGACTACAGGCGCACACCACCATGCCCAGCTAATTTTTGTATTTTTAGTAGAGACGGGGTTTCACCTCGTTGACCAGGATGGTCTCGATCTCTTGACCTCCTGATCCACCCGCCTCAGCCTCCCAAAGTGCTGGGATTATAGGCGTGAGCCACTGCGTCCGGCTAATTTAAAAAATTGTAAAAAGATTTTTAGACATGGGGCTTGCAATGCTGCCCAGGTTGGTCTCCAGCTCCTGGCCTCCTAGGGTTTGTCTTTGTGTTTGTCTTGGAGCCCAGATGGGTCACGGCTGGGCAAGTGGGTCACAGGCCTGGCCGACCTGGGAGGTTTCCACATGTGAGGAGCCCAGAAGGAGGGGAGTATTGGGGAGAGGAGCCCACTGGGTGGAGCCTGGGGTCTCAGCAGGAAATGGTGAGACAAAGGGCGCTGGCTGGCAGGGAGACAGCACAGGCAGGCTGAGAGCTTCCTCAGGGTAGCTGGAGTCTCCTGGAGACCTTCACGCACCCTGACACCTGGGCCCCGCCCCATGAGGGCACTTTCACTGGTCTGCACCATGGCCCAGGCCCTGGGATTTTGCATAGCTCTGCAGGTGAATGAAAGGTGCGGCCAGGCAGGAAAACCACCACACTAGATGCAGACCTGGTTTTCAGCCCCCCGCCCCATCACTGACTGGCTTTGTGAGCTCAGGCAAGTCACTCAGCCTCCCTAGGTCTCAGTGACTTCCCTGAAAGTGAGAATTCTGCACATGGTGTGTGATGGTGTTAAGGGTGTGGGCCTGGCTCTGGCCCCTGACGCAGGAACATGGAGCTGATCCAGGACGGCCTCCACCAGCGACTGGAGTACGTGAAGGGGGTCCCGCTCATCAAGTACTTTGCAGAGGCACTGGGGCCCCTGGAGAGCTTCCAGGCCCGGCCCGATGACCTGCTCATCAGCACCTACCCCAAGTCCGGTAGGTGAGGAGGGCCACCCACCCTCTCCCATGCGGCAGCCCCCACCTTGGCCTGCCAGGTTGTACCCTCAGCCTATTCACCTCCCTCTCCCTCCCTCTCCAGGCACCACCTGGGTGAGCCAGATACTGGACATGATCTACCAGAATGGTGACCTGGACAAGTGTCATCGGGCTCCCATCTTCATGCGGGTGCCCTTCCTTGAGTTCAAAGCCCCAGGGGTTCCCTCAGGTGTGTGACTGGGTCCTGGGGGCAAGGAGAGTGGAGGAGACAGGGCTGGGGCTTCAGCTCACCAGACCTTCCCTGACCCACCGATCAGGGCTGGAGACTCTGAAAGACACACCGGCCCCACGGCTCCTAAAGACACACCTGCCCCTGGCTCTAGTCCCCCAGACCCTGTTGGATCAGAAGGTCAAGGTGAGGCCGGGCACAGTGATTCACACCCACAATCCCAGCACTTTGGGAGGCTGAGGTGGGAAGACCCCTTGAAGCCAGAATTTCCAGACCAGTCTCTTCCAAAAAAAAAATTAGCTGAGCATACTGTTGTGTGCCTGTAGTTCCAACTACTCCGGAGGCTGAGGTGGGAGGATCATCTGAGCCTAAGAGTTCAAGACTGCAGTGAGGTATGATCACACCACTGCACTCCAGACTGGGTGAAGAGAAACACTGTCTCAAAAAAAGATGAAGAATAAAAAGAGGGGCTGGCAGGCATGGTAGCTAACACCTGTATTTCCAGTACATGGCAGGCCAAGGCTGGCAGATACCTGAAGTCAGGAGTTCGACATCATCCTAGCCAACATGTCGAAACCCCATCTTTACTAAAAAAAAAAAAAAAAAAAAAATAGCCTGGTCTGGTGGTGGGCACCTGTAATCTTGGCTACTTGGGAGGCTGAGGCAGGAGAATCATTTCAACCTGGGAGGCATAGGTTGCAGTGAGCCGAGACCACACCATTGCACCCCAGCCTGGTCACCAATAGCGAAACTCATTCTCAAAAATAAATAAATAAATAATTAGAAAATAAAAATATAAAGGCCGGGCGCGTTGTGGCTTATGCCTGTAATCCAACCATTTTGGGAGGTCGAGGTGGGCATATCACCTGATGTCAGGAGTTCAAGACCAGGCTGGCCAACATGGGGAAACCCCATATTCTACTAGAAATACAAAAATTAGCCAGGCATGGGGGCAAGCCCCTGTAATCCTAGCTACTCAGGAGGCTGAGGCAGGAATATCACTTGAACCTAGGAGGAGGTGGTTACAGTGTGCCAACATCGTGCCACTGCACTCTAGCCTGGAAAACAGAGGGAAACTCTGTTTCAAACAAACGAAATAAATAAATAAATAAAGATTAAAAAAAGGTTTGCCACCTGTGTTGGCTCACTCCTTATGCCAGCACTTTGGGACTCCAAGGTGGGTGGATCACTTGAGCTCAGGAGTGACAGAGCAGCCCGGGGAAACATGCGGAGACTCCATTTCTATAAAGAATGCAACACATCCCAGAGTGTGGTGGTGCTGTAGTCCCAGCTACTCAAAAGCCTGAAGTTGGACTGATTGCTTGAGTGTGAGAGGTCAAGGTTGCAGTGAGCTATTATCACTCCAGTGCACTCCAACCTGGGCAACAGAAAAAAAGAAAGATCAACAGCTTTTCTTTTTTTGAGACAGAGTTTTGTTCTTGTTACCCAGGCTGGAGTGCAACGGCGCGATCTCGGCTCACTGCAGCCTCTGCCTCCTGGGTTCAAGCAATTCTCCCGCCTCAGCCTCCTGAGTATCTGGGATTACAGGCACGCGCCACTATGCCCAGCTAATTTCTTGTATTTTTAGTAGAGATGGGGTTTCACCATGTTGACCAGGATGGTCTCAATCTCTTGACCTCGTGATCCATCCGCCTCGGCCTCCCAAAGTGCTGGGATTACAGGTTTGAGCCACCGCGCCTGGCCTAGGTCTTTTCTTTTTGACACTCTCTGTCAAAAAATAAAAATAAAAATAAAAAATTCCAGAACAAAAGGAAAAAGAAAAGGTCCAGGTGTGGAGCATGTGAATCTAGGGAAGGAGGCCCCAGCTTAGCCCAGCCTGGTCCCGTTTTCTGGGGGAGTCGCCTCACTGCCCCCAGCCTTGTCATATCTTCAGTGGGGAGACTGTCTGCTTCTTGCTCTGATGACCGAGAACATGAGACTCTTCAGTGTAGTGGGTGGATTCTCACATGCCCACAACTTGGGAATTTGGGGCTGGTGGGAACATGCCTGACTTGCTCTAAATTGGGGGGTGTAGACATTTATGCAGATTATACTAGCATAGAACACAGATCCAGGGACCAGGCTGGACTTTGACATCTGAGCAGGGTTCAGATCCCCGCTTGGACCTACCTGTGCCGTGAGATCTCAAGCAAGTCAGCCTCTAAGCCTCAGGTTCCTCCTTTGCCAAACTAAGAGATGAGCTGGCCTGGGGCGGGCCGTGTGATGGCGCTGGGCCGGGTCCTCTGCCCCCGCAGGTGGTCTATGTTGCCCGCAACGCAAAGGACGTGGCCGTCTCCTACCACCATTTCTACCAGATGGCCAAGGTGCACCCTGACCCTGGGACCTGGGACAGCTTCCTGGAGAAGTTCATGGCCGGAGAAGGTGGATTGACTGGAGGAAGGAGGGTGTGGAGCTGAGGGGTGGTGGCTACAACACACAGCAACCCTGTGTCGGTGCCCCCCGCCCGCTTATCCAGTGTGCTACGGTTCCTGGTACCAGCACGTGCGGGAGTGGTGGGAGCTGAGCTGCACACACCCTGTTCTCTACCTCTTCTATGAAGACATGAAGGAGGTCAGACCGCCTGTGCTGCTGCCCTCCATGTGACACCTGGGGGCAGGCACCTCACAGGGAGCCACCAAGGCCACCCAGTCCCCTCTTCAGGCAGCCCCACAGCAAGCCCAGATTCCCCATCCTGCCTCCCTGCCCCAGACCTCCCAGCTGCAGCCCCACCTGGCAGCAGGCCTGGCACAGCTCTCATCTCCCACACCTGAGTCAGCTCCACAGGTGGACACTGATCAGATACTTGTTCTGAGACAGTTTCCCACTGTTGCCCATGCTGGTGTGCTGTGGTATTATCTTGGCTACTGTAACTTCCCCTGCCAGGTTCAAATGATTCTCCTGCCTCAGCCTCCCCACAAGCTGAGATTACAGGTGCACATGACCACGCCTGACGAGTTTTTGTATTTTTAGTAGAGAGGAGTTTTTGTCATGTTGGCCAGGCTGGTCTTGAACTCCTGAGCTCAGGTGATCCGCCTGCCTCAGCTCCCACAGTGCTGGGATAACAGGCCTGAGCCATGGCCCCTGCCACAGATCAAATATTTATTCCTATTGCTTCTCCCTGCCAGAGGGTGTCCCACCCAGAGCCACAGTCACAGAAAACCATCCCGGTCCTCACCCATAGGAGCCAAGCCCAGCTCATCAAGGGATCACAGGGCAGAGAGCAATTCATTTTACCCCAGGGACAGGGCCCCAAGGGTCCAGGAGCTGGCTCCGTGGGTTTTCCAGTGGAAGTGGCCAGATCCCCTCTGAGGTCAGAGAAGGGGACCCCTTTTACTTTTCCGAATCAGCAATCCCAGCCTCCACTGAGGAGCCCTCTGCTGCTCAGAACCCCAAAAGGGAGATTCAGAAGATCCTGGAGTTTGTGGGGCGCTCCCTGCCAGAGGACACCCTGGACTTCATCGTTCAGCACACGTCATTCAAGGAGATGAAGAAGAACCCCATGACCAACTACTCCACTCTCCCCAAGGAGTTAATGGACCACAGCATCTCCCCCTTCATGAGGAAAGGTGGGCGCCGGCCAGCACGGGGGTTTGGGGCGGGTGGCAGCAGCAGCTGAAGCCTCCCCATAGGCACTCCGGGCTTCCCCTGGGGTGAGACTCCAGCTTTGCTCCCTGCCTTCGTCTCCCAGGCACGGCTGGGGACTGGAAAACCACCTTCACCGTGGCGCAGAATGAGCGCTTCGACGCGGACTATGAGGAGAAGATGGCAGGCTGCAGCCTCAGCTTCCGCTCCCAGCTGTGACAGGGGCTCCCGGGGTCACTGCAGAGGGAGTGTTCGAGTCAAGCCTGACCAAGGGGCTCAAGAATAAAGTGTGATTTGTGTTCAATGCAGAGCCTGTGTTGGAAGCCAAGAAAATCCCTGAGCTGAAAGAGTGATCGCCCACTGGGGCCAGATACAGCTACCGCCCTGCTCCAGCTCCCCAGCTGCCCTGTTTGGAGAGGGAAGAGGGTCTGGAGAAGTAAAACCCAGGACACGCGTGGAGGGGAATGTCCGTTTAATCCCAGCACATCCTCTGCTGTCCTGCCCTGTGCCGCTGGGGGATGGCGAGTACACTGGACAGCTTCACTTTTTCTTGGGCTCCTTACAAGCCACCACGTACCTCTGGGCCACATTGAGGGGAGGGGAATAGCCATCTGCATAGGAGGTGTCTTCAAACAGGACAGAGTAGTCATCCTGGGGCTGTGGGGCAGGCAGACAGGAGGGGCTGCTCAGAGACCCCCAGGCCAGGCCAGGACCCCTTCCCCCAGCCTAGACCACAGAAGCCTCCAGGTCCTGGACTCTCAGCCAATCTTGTCATTGTTCACTCTGGGGTCAAGAAGTCTCGGCCCAGTCCCTGCTGCTACAGAGGTGTTTTCTTAGTGGCGGGAGTCCCAGGGCAGGGCACAGGCGGGAAGAGGAAGGAAACTCCCTCCCTCCCCAGTGGGGCCATAGCTGGAGGGTCTGCTGCCTTTTGGGACTCTGTTCAGAGAACTGAAGGAAACCCAGAGGGTGGCAGGCAGGGATCCTAGCCTCAGGTGGCTTGTGTCCCATGTCACCAGGAGCACGAGGGGACAGGAGCCTGGGGTTCAGGGCAGAAGCTTCCCATCTCGAAGCTGCTTCTCCTGCGGTTGCTGAAGTGAAGCCACTGATTCGGGGCTTGCCAAGGCTACCAGGGCTGGCAAGGGGACAGTCGCCTTTGGGGCTGGAGTGCAAGAGGGAGGGCAGCTGGTGGGTCCTGTCAGCTTGGGGGCTGTGAGATGAAGACAAGGGGGAGGGAGCAGGGAGAGGACCCCCAGCCTGTCTGATCAGCCTGTTTCTGACATTACCCATGGCCTCCATTGGAGGCTGCTTTACCCGCTGTGGGGGTGCATGGATCAGGGCGCGGTAGAAGCAGGTGGTCTGGGGATACAGGGCCAGCACGAGCTGCTCCTTCTGGAACAAGGCCTCGGGGTCTGTCTCGGGGTTGGCCTTCCACTGGGGCAGTGGGATGACCCGGCGCCGGCTCAGGGTGTGTCTCCTGGGGGTGGAGAGACTAGTGTCAACACGTGGCCAGGTGGGGAAGCTCCTTCCTGGCTGTTACGCTGACCCCTAGGCTCTGTGCCCTGCCCTGGCCTGGACACTCACTCTTTGCCTTCTTCATCGATGTCATCTACTTCATACCTGCGGACAAAAGGAAGAAAACACTGGATGCAGCCAGGGTCGTGGTCCCTGTCGGGGAGTGAGGAGGGTGGGGGCAGCCCAGGCAGGTACTTCGACAAGTGAGTGGCCCTGGGGCGGGTGTCACTCACTTGTTGGTGGCGTGGCTGTAACTGACCACCTCGGCCAGGATCCACTGCTCGTCCCCATCCACAGCCTTCACCCGGGCAGCCACCTTGTCTCCAGGTCTGGCCACGTAGTCCCCTGAGGCAGGGATGGCCCCACAGAGGGGTGGGGGCCTGTGAGTGGAACAAAGGGTCAGCCCCAGCCCCTGGGCACCAGCCCCTCCTTCGAAGCTGCTTCCTCACTTGTCACCAGGCTTCCCGATCCACAGGGGCAGGGTCATGGCCGACTGCTGCAGCAGGGTCATCAGCACACCTCTGCGCATGGTCTTCCGGGGTGGCTCTGAATCATTGTAGAGACCCGCGATCTTGGCCGCTGTGGGAAGGAAGGAAGCCCTGAGGTCACAGGGAGAGGTGCTGGCTTTAACCCCCACTATCGTCCTGCATCCAGCTGTTGGAGAAGTCACTGGGAGCCCCAGCTCCTAAGTGAGCCTGAGGACCCAGCAGGACTCTCACTCCATCAGCCAGCTGTCAATACTCATAAAGACTGCTGCGCTCAACTACAGATGGGTGAGATGGCAGCTCAGCAGGCACCCAGGGGGAAGAACCAAGAAGATAGTGGGGTTCCGAGCTGCTGGTCTGGCTGTTTGCTGATCTGAATGGCGGTTACAGAAGTGTGTTCAGTTAGTGAATATTTCATGGAACTCTGCACTTATGTGTACTTTTCTATTAATATGTGTTGTAACTCAACAGAAAGTTAAAAAAATATATTAAGTGTGCACCTTGGACCTCTTCAGACACAGCTGCACACCTCAACTTCACACAGAACCAGGATGGCCACATGGGCACACTGACGTGCCAAGAGTCTGCCCACCGTGGGTTTGCTGGGAGGGCAGAACAGTAGGAGAGCCAAGGAAATGCAGGCTGAAGGGGTCTGGAAGGCAGGCTTTAAGACACAGTGTGTGGTTCTGCACAAACCAGCCAGGGCAAGAAATGGGCATGGGCTGTGGCAGGAAGGGGCAGGCCACTGGCCTAGGCCCCAGAAGGGGCAGGAGACAAGGGGCGGGCACAGGATGACCTCTGGCTGCTGAGGGAGAACTGGGAAACCCCTGTTTCTGAGCGCTGAGAATGATCTCCTGTCCCTTCTCAGGGGCAGAGCCAGTCTGCCAGAGCCTCTACGGGAGGATCCGAGCAGGCAGTGGCCGCAGGCCTCCACCGGCAGGTGACTGCTGCCTGAAGGGCCTTCCTCCTCCTAGCCAAGGACTTCCCAGCACGTCCTCTCCCACTCACCAATCCGCCTCTCCTCCAATAGAGACTTGATTTCTGCAATCTTGTCCAGAGCTTTCCGAAGGATGCTGAGGGCAGGGAGAAGGGAGAAAGAGGGTTTGGTTGAAGTACATAGCATAGACTTCTTTTCCATTTTTGCTGTTTCGGGTCTCGCAACATGGCCCTGGCTAGTCCCGGTCTTTAGTGGTCCCCCCCAGGAGTCTCCTGCGCAGGTCAAATACAGGTGTATGCAGCTTCCTGTTCTGGTCAAGGATGGCTGGATTATTCGGATCAATCCCACTGGTGAACACTAGAAATCCGGCCGGGCGCGGTGGCTCACGCCTGTAATCCCAGCACTTTGGGAGGCCGAGGTGGGTGATCACCTCAAGCCTGGAGTTCAAGACCAGACTGAGCAACATTGCAAAACCCCATCTCTACTAAAAATACAAAAATTAGCAGGGCGTGCTGGCGGGTGCCTATAATCCTACCTACTCAGGAGGCTGAGGCAGAAGAATCCCTTGAACCCAGGAGGCAGAGGTTGCAGTGAGCTGAGATAGCATCATTGCATCCAGTCTGGGCAACAAGAACAAAACTCCATCTCAAAAACAAAAAATAAAGAAAACTAGAAATCTTTAGTATGTGTTTTTTTAGTCTTAAAAGTGTAAAAAACAAGACTATAGGAAGCAGCTGGCCAAAAACTAAGAGAACGCAGGATTCCAGAGAGGAAAGGATACAGGCAAGTGGCCTTCAGCAAACCTGCAGAAGGGCTGCCCTCTTCTGGCAGCCTCTCCCCACCTCCTGAGATGAGGAGGACAGCAGCCTCAGGTCTGCCTGAGGGTCACGAAAAAGGAGGGGAGACTCTGGGGAGAGATGCTGACTCAGAGCAGGGCTGGGTGGAAGGAATTCTTCCTTTCTGAAGGGATGCACCCCCACATGGCCTTACAGCCCCAGGAAGCCTTCTAGAAGTTAGTTTATGGGGGTTCCAGGGTGGCAGGAACCCAAGGAACCCAGCAGAAGCAGCAAACACAGAGCTTTGTTGGAGGCAGGCTTCTTCATCCTAAATCTCAGATTCCCAAAGAATATTTCCATAGCAGGCCTGGGTGTGGTAGCTTATGCCTGTAATTCCAGCACTTTGGGAGGTGGAGGCAGGAAGATCACGAGATCAGGAGTTGGAGACCAGCCTGGCCAACAATGGCAAAACCCTATCTCTAGAAAAAATTAAAAAATTAGCTGGGCGTGGTGTGTTCTGCCTGTAATCCCGGCTACTCAGGAGGTTGAGGCAGGAGGATCACTTGAGCCCAGGAGTTTGAGGATACAGTGAGCCATGATCATGCCACTCCACTCCAGCCTGGACAACAGAGTGAGACAGTGTCTTAAATCAATCAATCACACAAGGGAAAACAGCAGCAATCTGATACAGGAGAAACGTGGAAAAGACCACTTTAACCAGTGGAACAGGTAGCATCTTCTGCTGTCTAATATAATTCACCAAGGACATTTCTTCTGTGCCAAAAGTGTAAACTCTCCTACTAGTGAGGAAATGTCAGACAGTCAATACCAGTGTTGGAGGTCCACCCCAGATAAACAGAGCCTCTGGTACAGGCAGACTTGAGAACCACTGTGTTCTCCAAAGAGGAATGTAATGTTCAAGTTCCTGAAGTTACAGCCGTTGCACTATAGAGATTTAAGGAAACAATGTTTTTAGATCATTTTATTTTTTATTTTTACTTTTTGAGATGGAGTCTTGCTCTGTCGCCCAGGCTAGAATGCAGTGGCACGATCTTGGCTCACTGCAACCTCCGACTTCTGGGTTCAAGCAATTCTCCTACCTCAGCCTCCCGAGAGGCTAGGATTACAGGTATGTGTCACCACACCTGGCTAATTTTTGTATTTTTAGTAGAGACAGGGTTTAGCCATGTCAGCCAGGCTGGTCTTGAACCCCCAACCTTAGGTGATCTGCCCACCTCAAGACTGCAGGCATGAGCCACCGTGCTTGGCCTTAAGCTCATTTTAAAAGCAGTAGTTTTCTGGAAGTGAAACTTCTCTATCTCAGAATCATAAAACCTTCAGGTCATCTGAGTTGACCTTCTAGACAACCTTACAGACACATGCCACCAGGCTCAGCTAATTTTAAAATTTTTTGTAGAGACAAAGTCTCACTTTGCTGCCCAGGCTGGTCTTGAACACCTGGACTCCAGTGATCCTCTAACCTTGGCCTCCCAATCACCTCTGTAATGCTGTGATTACAGATCTGAGCTACCTAGCCCCTGATATCCCTATTTTAATGACTGAATCTCAGCCAGAGTGATTGCCAAGGTCACAGAACCAGTAAATGGTAGTACTGCCTCACGCCTTGCTGCCTTCTGTAAAGGCGTTAGCAGCAGAGGTAACAAAAGAGTAGGCCTAGCAGTGGGCTCCAGGGAAGGTGGGACCCAAGGGAGAGGCTGGGAGTAGGAATCGGCTTATCCATGGGAGGAAAGCAGGCTGGGGGCTTGGTCCAAATGCGACTGTAGCCCAGTACCCAGGTGAGGAGGGAGCAGCGGCGGGGTGGGCGCACTCACTTGCACTCAGCCTCTGCATCAGCCTTGGCGGTTGTATAGAGGCCACGCAGCTTTGTCCGATAATAGGGAGAAACTGCAGAGGAAACAGAGGAATAAGGAGGCAGGGCCAGGGTAGGCGCAGTAGTGTGGCACTGCTTCCGTGTACCGGAATCACACTTGCGGAGGCACAGAGAGGCTGTGGCCACAGTCAGAGCTCTGCTGGCTCAGGAGTGCTACCGAGGCAGATACCCCAGGCTCCAAGAGTCCGCATTTCCATATGGTACAAATGCCATCACTACATCTGCAAGAGGACTGTCTCACCTTTTCCCCATCATGACACACACAGAAAATATTTGTTAAGACACAGGAAACCACAATTCTCAGTTACCTAGAGTAGGAAAGCCCCATCCCCAGGGTCTGACCTCCTACGGGGCCTCAGGGCACATGGAGGGGCCGCCTGGGAAGGAAGCTCTGTTCTAGAAAACACCAGCTAACTAGGGTGCTTATACGCTCTAAGGGGAACTTTCCCTGGACGCAGTCTCACTGTACTACCTTTCCAGTCCTCAGAATGGAGGGATTTTAGTTCTTCAGGTCACCCAGACTAAGGGAAAGCTGTCCCTCCTGCCTCAGGAGCAGTGCATTTCTGAACATGCAGATACATGCAAATCCACTTTGAATACAATATCTACCTAATTCCCAGCCCTGGCCACACCTACCACCCCGCCCCCATCTCATCCCCTTTCTCTCCTGAGCCCAGCTACTCACTCTTGTTCTCTGTCTGCATCCGCTCGTGGGTCTTCTGGATGTTCACTAAGTTGTGTTCGCTCCGTGAACGCTCTTCCTGTAAGGAGGAGAGCAGCAGGACGTGATGGAGGCCCTCCCTGCTGCCGTGGCACCCTACGAGCCAGGCCAGAGGCCCCATCCCAAAAACATGACCCTCATTTTCTAAATCCAAATTCAGGAGAGATTCAAGATGATTTTCTCCTTTGACTAATGCAAAAGCATTACAAAAGGCATTAAAGGGCCTGGTGCAGTGGCTCATGCCTATAATCCCAGCACTCTGAGAGGCCAAAGTGGGCAAATCACTTTCAGGTCAGGAGTTCAAGACCATCCTGGCCAATATAGTAAAACCCCATCTCTACTAAAAATACAAAAATTAGCTGGGCATGGTGGCGTGCACCTGTAGTCCCAGCTACTCGGGAAGCTGAGGCAGGAGAATTGCTTGAACCTGGGAGGCGGAGGTTGCAGTGAGCCAAGATTGCACCACTGCACTCCAGCCTGGCGCCTGGCGATAAAGCAAGACTCTGTCTCAAAAAAAAAAAAAGAATTAAAGTGTCATCTTAAGTGATATCTTTAATGACAGTCCTTTATCAAAGAGACAAATCAATCTATATAGTCAATGCAATCCCCATGAAAATTTTTGTTGACTTCTTTGTAGAAATTGATAACTTCATCCTAAAATTCATATGGAAATTCAAAGGACCCAGATTACATCTTGAGAGGAAAAAAAAAGTTGGAAAGCTCACACTTCCCATTTTCAAAATTTACTGCAAAGCTACAGTAATCATGATGGTGTGGTACTGGCATATACATTAATAGAACAGGTTCCAGAGTCCAGAAACTGACATATACAGGTATGATCAACTGATGTGGGGAAGAAGGGGTAGGGAAGAACACTGCTACAATTCCTCCCATATCAGTGGTCCTGAGACCAGAGGTGCAACTGCAGATGCTGGAAATCAGGATGGTTCCTAAGCAAAATATTATGACTATGCTTTATAGCCTTTATGTGAGAATTTTTAAGTGCCTAATGGGTGGCTTTTGCCTTTACCTCAACCTGCAAAATAGGGTTAATGGTGAACATGGCTGCCTATGCTCGAGACAGCTGATAGTGTATACCCATGTGACCCCACCCTGTATGAACAGGAATGGACTGGGGTTGGGGGGACACTTGCTAGACTAGTACTGCTGCTGCTGCAATCTGGACCAGGACAGTGGCCCAAGCTAACATCCCTTCCTTTTTTTTTTTTTTTTTTTTCAAAAGAACCTGTGTTGCCCAGGCTGGAGTGCAGTGGCTATTCACAGGCACGCTCCCGTTACTGATCAGCATGGGACTTTTGACCTGCTCCGTTTCCAACCTGGGCCAGTTCACCTCTCCTTAGGCAACCTGGTGGCCCCCCACTCCCAGGAGGTAACCATATTGATGCCAAACTTAGTGCAGACACTCTATGGGCATAAAGCAGTACAGCCCAGAACTCCTGGGCTCAAGCGATCCTCCCACCTCAGCCTCCCAAGTAGCTGGGACTACAGGCACGCACCACCGAACCTGGCGCTAACATCCCTTCCAAAGATGGAAAAGTTTGGGTGAAAACCAATCACAAATGGAGAGGAGAAATAGTAGCCAAGTTAACAGAACAAATTAAATGGGTTATGCAATGACGGAAATACAGTATTGTATTCATACCTCAAGAGAGGCTCAGAGTAAGAGAATGCCATCTCTTAGATCAGTTACATGGGTGCCTGAAAGGGTGAAGCCATGCATCTGTCAGGACCATGCCTGCTTTTAGAAGTTGACAGGTGAGATGGGAGTCTGGGAACCCAGTGGCAGCCGTCTGAGGGACACCCTGGTTATATGGGATGATGATAAACAGGTCTAACTGTGGATGACTCAATGGAATGCATAATCTGCCAGTATCTTTTTTTCATTCACTCATTCATTCATTTTTTGAGACGAAGTTTCACTCTTGCTGCCCAGGCTAGAGTGCAGTGGTACGATCGTGCCACTGCACTCCAGCCTGGATGACAGAGTGAGATTCTGTCTCAAAAAAAAAATATGTGTTTTTGTTTGCCTGGATTAATGGAGTGGAAGGAAAAGATATGGGGCATTTTTGTTGGGTGCTAAAAATGTTCTGAAATTGATCATGGTAATGACTGCACAACTCTGTGAGTTGCGAAAAACCACTGGATTATACACTTTACATGGATGCATTGTACGGCAGGCATGTGAATTCTATCTCAGGATAGTTGTTAAAATCAATCATGAAATCCTGTATGTGGAGAAAATCAAGAGGAATTGCAGCCATAGCCCAAATTCCCCTCCTCTCACCTTTATGACATCATCTTGGTTCCTGCATGTCCAATCTCTCTGAACACAAATGCCACCCCCACTTCACAGCTCAGTGCATCAAAGCCCTTGTTCCCATCTGAGAGTGGAGGGTGCTGACTTTTTACCTGGGTTTGCTTGATCAGCTGATGGAGTTCTGTGAGAAGTTCTGCAATACGGGAATCGGCAGACACGAGGGCCATTGTCTACAGGGGTGCCTGGTGGGGGAGTGAGGACAGAAGAGAACTCTGTTAGTGGCTGGTTAGAGGGCCCTCTCAAAGTTACATTCGGCCCAGAGGCTCACACCTGTAATCCCAGAACGTTGGGAGGCCAAGGTGGGCAGACTGCTTGGGGCCGGGAGTTCAAGACCACCCTAGGCAACATAGTGAGACCCCGTCTTTACCAAAAAAAAAAAAAAAATTAAAATTAAAAACGTAGCCCAGTAAGGTGGCACACACCTGTAGTCCCAGTTATCTGAGAAGCTGAGGTGAGTGGATCACTAGGGCCTAGGAGGTCAAGGCTGCAGTGAGCTATTGCACTCCAGCCTGCATGACAGAGTGACACCCTATCTCTTTAAACAATAATAATAATAATAAAATACATTGTAGTCCTAACCGAGATACCTGGAATGTAACCTTGCTGGGAATTAGGATCTTTACAGACATATTTAAGATGTCACTAAGATGAGGTCATAGTAGAATAGGGTGTACCCTTAATCCAGACACACAACCAGGTGGGGACAGAGGCAGAGATGGGACTTGGACTGCTGCAAGCCAAGGGATCCCAAGTACTGCCAGCATCCACCTAACCAGCTAGGAGAGACACATGCCTGTAATCCCAGCACTTTGGGAGGCCAAGGTGGGCAGATCACGAGGTCAAGAGATCCAGACCATCTTGGCCAACATGGTGAAACCCCGTCTCTACTAAAAATACAAAAATTAGCTGGGCGTGGTGGTGCATAGTCCCAGCTACTCGGGAGGCTGAGGCTGAGGGGAATTGCTTGAACCCGGGAGGCGGAGGTTGCAGTGAACCGTGATCACGCCACTGCACTCCAGCCTGGAGCCTGGTGACAGAGTGAGACTGTCTCAAAAAAAAAAAAAAAAAAAAAAAAGATAATTAGAACAAGAGTAAAAAGACAACCAAAAGTAATCAAAATTATAACTAGGTGAAAATGGACATATGCTTAAAGATAAAAGCATATTAGATACAATAAGGGGAGTTTTTTTAGGGTGCTGAAATTTTGCATAATAGCCTGCACCTTACAAAGTTTGTTCAGTCTGGGTGCAGTGACTCAAACCTGTAATCCCAGCACTTTGGGAGGCAAAGGTAGGAGGATGGGTTGAGTCCAGGAGCTGAAGACCAGCCTGGGCAATATATCAAGATCCTGTCTCTATTTTTATTGCTTAAAAAAAGGTTGTTCAGCTGGGTGCAGTAGCTCACGCCTGTAATTCCAGCACTTTGGGAGGGAGAGGTGGGCAGATCACAAGGTCAGGAATTCCAGGCCAGCCTGGCCAATATGGTGAAACCCCATCTCTACTAAAAATACAAACATTAGCTGGGCATGGTGGCATATGACTGTAATCCCAGCTACTTGGGAGGCTGAGGCAGAATTGCTTGAACCTGGGAAGTATAGGTTACAGTGAGCCTAGATCATGTCACTGTACTCCAGCCTGGGTGACAGAGTGTGACTCCATCTCAAAAAAATAATAGTTCAACTAACACACCCTCCTACCCACAGAGATCAGATTCACACTGAATGGAGTAAACTCTTCCCCTCACTTAACAAACTGTGAACCTCTCCCCATGTATTTATTTGTAACTTCTTACAGGCTCGGCTGCTGTTATTTAAAAGTATAATAACATACAAACTAGGAACAGAGGGAAACTTCCTCAACCTGATGAAGTGCATTTATGAAAAACACACAACTAACATCAGACTTAAAGGTGAAAGACTAAAAGCTTTCTCCTAAGTCAGGAACAAGACGAGCGTAGGTCCTTGTCATTTCTAGTCAACACTGTCCTGGAAGCACTAGCCAAGGCAATGAGGCAATAAGATGAACTAAAAGGCATCCAGATTGGAAAGGAAGAAGTACAGCTATTTCTATTTGCATGTGACATGACCTTGTACACAGAAAACCCGAAGGAATCCACTAAACAACTATTAGGACTAAGAACAAGGTTAGATCTAATTGCAAAGTTGCAGGATACAAGATCAATAAACAAAAATCAATTGTGGCCAGGCCCAGAGGCTCATGCCTCTAATCCCAGCACTTTGGGAGGCTGAGGCAGACGGATTGCTTGCAGCCAGAGGTCCAGACAAGCCTGGGCAACACAGCGAAGCCCCCACTTTCACTTTATAAATGTTTTAACTTAAAAAAAAAAAAGGCTACAGTAATCAAGATGGCATGGTACTAGCATAAAGATAGACATCTAGTTCAATGAACAGAACTGAGAGGCCAAAAATGGCCAAATAATTTTCAACAAGGGCGTCAAGACAAATTTGTGGGAAAAGAATAATCTTTCAGCAAATGTTACTGGGACAACTGAGTATCCACATGTAAAAGAATGCATCTGGTTCCCTACCTCAGCCCACATACAAAAGTGATCCGAATAGACAGTTGTCCAAAATAGACATACAAATGACCACCAAGCACATGACAAGATGCTCCATATCATTAGCCATTGGGAAATGCAAGTCAAAACCACTGAAGACACCACTTCACACCTACAGTAAAAAAGAGACAGAGTTGGGAAGGACGTAGAGAAACTGTATGAATGCATAAAGTGTGATATCCATAGAGTGGAATATTACTTGCTAATAAAAAGAAAAGTAGTAGTGAGACATGCTATGACACGAATGAACGTTGAAAACATGCTAAGTGAAAGAAGCTGCAGTCATGAAAGACCACATATTGTATGTTTCCATTTACATGAAATATCCAGAAGAGCCAAATCCATTGGAAGCTGGGTGGGAAGGGTTGGGGAAAAGACAGTGACAGTTAATGCGTATGGTTTTTTTTTTTTTGGACCAGGTGATGAAAATGTTCTAAAATTGTGCTGATGGTTGCAAAATTCTGAATACACTAAAAACCAACGAGTCGCACACTTTAAATACGTGGTACATGGCCACCCCATCCCCAGGTAAATATTATTTACTTTCTGTCTCTTTCAATTTGCATAGTCTGCACTTTATTTTTTTTTATGAGACGGAGTCTCGGTCCGTCGCCCAGGCTGCAGTGCAGTGGCACGATCTCAGCTCACTGTCACCTCTGACTCTCAGCTTCAAGTCCTTCTCCTGTCTCAATCTCCTGAGTAGCTGGGACTACACATGCATGCCACCATGCCTAGCTAATTTTTGTATTTTCAGTAGAGACAGCATTTTGCCATGTTAGCCAGGCATGCACTCCTGACTTCGGGTGATCCACCCATCTCGGCCTCCCAAAGTGCTGGGATTATAAGCATGAGCCACCATGCCAGGCCTACACTTGCTTTTTATTACTAATATTCCACTGTTTTGCTCTAACACAGTCCATTTTTTTGGCTATTATGAATCATGATGCTATGAGCGTCGTGTGCAAGTTTTTGTATGGGCATGTTTTCTTTGCTTTTTTTTTTTTTTAATAGAGATGGGGTTTCACCATGTTGGCCAGGCTGGTCTCAAACTCCTGACCTCAAGTGATCTGCCCACCTCAGCCTCCCAAAGTGCTGGGATTATAGGTGTGAGCTACCGCATCCGGCCAGTTGTCTTATTATTGAGTTGTGTCCTTAGAAGCACATGGTTTTAATTTTTATCAAGTCCAATTCCTTTTTCTTTTGGTTGCTTGTGATATTGATCTATGTTGTCTCACATGTATGACACTTTTTACCATCACAGCTTTACATAATGCACTGTCATCTAGAGAAGAAAATATTCCCTTAGAAACATTTAGAGACCTAGGAACAGAAGCTACATCTGTGTCTCGACGTGGCGGTGAGACCAGATGGTGGATCCTGGTGCCACTACCCTCAGGGCTTGTATACTGTAGGGAAGGGGTGGTTCGGAAGGGACGCATCGGACAGCTGAAGTACAATAACATCAAGGCTGTATGACCCCAGGCAGGATTTACGGTAAAGATTTATTGACCACAAGGAACAAGAGACAAACTGGAAATCTTGGAGTCCTTCCCAGAACTGGAATTAATCAGAAGTCAACACGATGCATTAGCATCCAGGATGAAGTTGCTTTAGCCTCCCTAGCTGCATTAGCTAAAAACCACACAAAAGAATAAAACTGGAGTTTAGATCGAAGATTGGGAGTGGATAAATCTGATAATGATCAGCATGCAGGCTGTTGCTCAAGTCTTGGGAACTGATGAGGCTAGAGATTATCTGCTAAGTGAGGAAAAGGGAAAGAACCCCAGTGAGCCAGAACAAATAAAGTGAAGCTGCGGACAGAAGATTCAAGCTTAGTGGAGAGATAAGGAAGGTGTGGACCGGCACAGAAAGGGTTATTCTCTCCTGCTACAGCAGGAATCTTGGCTGAAACTGTTATAAGGGAGTTAGACAGGCTCTCCCCTACCCACTAGGAAAGTTGGGTGATGGCTTGGCAATTATCACATTGCCTCTCTAAAAGTGATAAATTGGCAGCCGGTACCAGAGAGAGGCCATTTCCTGATGGTCCACACCTGGTGCACTAAAGTGTTCAAAGAATGCAGACACCAGGGAGATGCCACTTCCTGGGCATGCACATTAACAGACCAAATGGCAGCGCATGACCTCCCAGGGGCACATCACCAGAACAGGGAAGAAAGCCTTAGAAGGGCACCTGCACAACTTCCTACACACACTATGTGTGCTCACCTCCCAACGATAAGGAGTGCACTGTGCATGCAGGCAGCTCACCCTAAGGGAAGAACCATGGGCAAGGGGCCAGCCTTGACCCTAGAATGCCCTAGGATGGCCTACAATCAAGGTTAAACACCGCACTGGACTGCAGTGCCCACTTGGGTCTCCTTTCTTTCCTGTTACTCCTGCTCTGAAACTTGCCTTGGCCTCTTTTTCTGCCTTGTGACACTCACTCAAATTATTAAGAGGCAAAGTGTGGCTGCTGCAATCTCCTACAGATTTGCTGCTGGTAACTCAGATACCTTCCACCCGTAACAAAATCAGTGGCCCGCCTTCCACATGCCTGCACCTGAGCCCCATTAACAGCCCCACCACTGGACAGGGGTTTACTTTA